TATATATATATATATATATATATATATATATATATATATATATATATATATATATATATATATATATATATATATATATATATATATATATATATATATATATATATATATATATATATATATATATATATATATATATATATATATATATATATATATATATATATATATATATATATTGTTTGAATAATTGTGTGAGAGAAGAATTGAAATATTTGATATATATTATTTGAGTGGTGGTGGTGGTGGGGAGTGGGAACAAAGCACGTGCATGGACAGAATTATCATCGTTTTAATTTTAAGTAATTAGAAAGAATGATTAAGAGCAATATTTATATTAATTAACAAAATAAATCATAATTACCTAGCTGCTACTTGTCGTTGACTGTATGAAGCTCAAAATCTGGCGCTAATCTTTCTGCTAATTCCGCCCTGTGCTTCCGCCGCCGGACGATGAAAACCACCGCCGACACAACCAGCAAAACGACGCCGGCCACCCCGCAAATCGCGCTCGCAACCAGCAACACCATCCTCGTGAGATCTCCGCGAACGTCGCGCGATCTCTCTCCGCCGGCGGTACTCTGCGCCTCAGGCAGTGTTGGGGAAGACGGCGTCGTCGATCCGAAGAACGATCCGTCGCTGTTTTGAGTAGGCGGAGATGTGTTTCCCTGGTAGGCTAGGCCGTGGTCCGATGGACGGAGGTCCCGGCCGGCGGATTGACTGGTGATTGCTGCCAGTGTAACTAATGCTGATACGACGCCGTATTGGAAGAAGAAATCGAGCTGCATCTCGGAAAAGTTTGCGGCTGATCTTTCTTTTTCCGTGGAATCACTTTTAGTACGTGTGAATTATTGCGTGTTTCTTCAGTTGACATTATCTAATTTTTTTTTTTATTATCTGGAAATAATTTCAATTTCTTTATTTTTTTAGCAAAAAATATATTTATAACATCAATTTAATCATGTAGACTATAAATTATATTCGGCCCATTTTATTAGAAGCCCAGTTACAATATGTCCTGTTAATTAATGGGCCGCCTTTTTATCACCTTAAATTTGATGTGGTGGTATTATTTCTTAAAAAAAACAAATCATTTTAGTTATTTATTATTTTATTATAGGAATAATGGATTTGATCCTCTCTTCCGATCTCAATCCTTTTATTATTATTTATTTATTCATAGTGGTCTCTCACAAACTATTATTGAAGGTGATTTTAAACAATTTATTAATGAAGAAGTCAAGCCTTGATTTTTATTTATTTGTTTTTTAAAATTGATGACTACCACTACCCCGTGAATCAGGTGATTTTGCCTTGCGTTGGCACAGGGTCATTTGACTTTTCACCACTGGTTTTATATTTAACTAAATATACAGTTAATTTTTTGTAAATTAATATATTAAGTACTAATAAAAAATTTATTAATTTAGTTAAATTTTAAATTATCTAATTAATAATTTATGTCTTTACCATGTCGAAACTGGGAAAAAAATATTATTTAAGCAAAATTAGTAATTTCAGCGCACCAATTTTCTTTATATTATATGTTGTTTTAAAGTTTTTTTAACTATTAACGAGTATTTAAGAAAATATTATCACTATTTTTATACCACCTTCTAATTTAATTTAATTATTTATATTATTTCACCCTTGTTATTACTTGTTAGTATTGATTAGTGGTATGGTTGACTCAATAATATTTTATTTGAATATTTTCAAATTATTTATTGGATTGTCCAGCCGGCACTCCACATGCAACATGCAGGTTTAAATAGTGTATAGAGTTTAATTAGTAGCATCGAATATATTAATTACAAATTAGTACATTTAAAAGTGTATTATTGTTTGTGCTTCTACTTAATCCCCGCCAATTTAATTGCAACATGCAATACATGCTTCATTACCACGTCAGAACAATTGTTCATATATTCAAAATAATTAGTCAAGTAAGAAAAAATGCAGACATAAATTACTCGAATTTTTTGCCATTTTTTTTATTTATTAATTAATGCTTCTTTTTTATTATTAAAAAAAAAATTAACAGTAACGCGATCTGTAAAAGTCGTAGTGTGAGCTACAGTTCTAATGTTGAATAAATAAATAAATAAATAAATTAATTAATTAAAGAAAAAAAAAGGGATAAATAGCAAGCTTTCTTCCTCTCCCTCCATATCTTTCACTCATCTCTCTATCTCAATTCTCAACTGCAATGGCGAATTACTCGGAGGCCCATATTTGCCAGTGCCTCAGCCGCCTCTCCGCCGCCGCCCGCCACTCCACCGTCACGATCAACGGCGACCGCCGCAAAAATGGAATGCAATTCGTCGACGGAGTTATGGCCCTGGTCCGTGGGCTCCTCCAACTCGGTATCAACCCCGGCGACGTCGTTTCAATTTCTGCTCTCAACAGGTTTTCCTCTCAATCTAATATAAATGCTTTCATCAGGCTATGCATAAATAAATAACATAATTTTTTTTATTGTTGAAATTTGAAAAATTCAATTGCTGGAAATAAACACTACATTAATTAATTAGGCTATGCATAAATAAATAAATAAATTCGTTTTGCCGATCACTTTGCTCCGAAGGAATGATCATATCACAAAATTCAATTAAGCTCCGAAGGAATGATCATATCACAAAATTCAATTAAATAAATTAGTCTCTGCATAATTAATTTGAATTAAATCATTTTGTTTTGAGAGAGAGTGTTTGAATTTTTGTTTCAGTGATTTATATTTGGAATGGATGCTTGCTATTACTTACATAGGAGGAATCGCTGCTCCGCTCAACTATCGATGGGTTAGTAAATAGCAACATATTTTGATTTTTTTTATTTTTGTGCGTAAATTTGTGTGCTGATAGTATTGAAATAATGCAGAGTTTGGAAGAAGCAAAATCAGCTATGGAGGTAGCAAATCCTGTATTGTTGGTAACAGATTCGAGCCGTGGTTATTGGCATTCAAAGTTCGAGATTGATTCCGTACCGTCTTTAAGGTGGCATGTCTTAATGGATGTTCCGGTTGAATCCAACAATAACGGAACTAGTACGATATTTATATCTGGAAAAAACATAGATTAATATCGATAAAATGTTATTGTACGCAATATGAATATATATGATATAGCTCTTGCTCTAAATCGCAGTTTTTGCAACCGAATTACTTAAGGAGCCTGCCGGAAGATTTATCGAACTAGACTATCTTTGGGCACCTGAAAGAGCTGCAGTTATATGCTTTACCTCAGGTACAATAAAACTTACTTTTCTATTTTTTATTTTTTAGTTTTTTAATTTTTGACTCATGAAATAAATAAAATATATAATAGAAATTCTTGATTTTTCGCGATGCCAATAGGTACAACTGGAAAGCCGAAAGGAGCTACTATAAGCCATTCAGCTTTAATCATGCAATCCCTTGCTAAAATTGCAATTGTTCGATACAGTGAGGATGATGTGCGTTTTTTATTTTCCTTTGTTTTTTTAAATATGATTTTGACGTTGTGTGTCTTCAATAAATTGAAAATGAGATAAACATGAATTCTTGAATTGGTGCAGGTGTATCTGCATACTGCTCCTTTGTGCCACATAGGCGGAATATCATCGGCCATGGCCATGTTAATGGCGGGTGGTTGCCATGTAATAATTCCCAAGTTTGAGGCTAATTTAGCCTTTGAAGCAATTAGGGAATACAATGTGACTTCTTTGATCACTGTACCTACAATGATGGCTGATCTAATCTCCTATAATAGGTAAAATTAAAATTAAAAGGAGGAAAATTTGTAGTTTTTATATTGTATCTTTGGATTATTTTGTTCGTTTATCTATAAGTTGAAGTGTCGAAACTTTTTGCAGGACGAAGCAAAAATCTGAAAGTTTTGAATCTGTGAAGAAGATTCTTAACGGGGGCGGCGGTCTATCAGTTGAGCTCATAAATAATGCAACCAAACTTTTTCCCAGAGCCACTATTCAATCAGCTTATGGTACTTATACTCTACTTTATTCGTAATTACTACAAAAATAGATACCTGCATTTTATTTTAATTGCTTCCTCTTGACATTTATATAAATCGATTGAAATTTATATTGTCATCTTAAATATTGTGGAAAATAATTATATTCTTTGATTTGATGCAGGAATGACAGAGGCATGCTCTTCTCTTACTTTCATGACAATTTACGAGCCTACGAAAGAAAGCCGTTTTGTTCATGTAAATGATGTCCAGAAATCGAATTTAAATTGTCAAGGAGGTGTTTGTGTTGGAAAACCTGCACCACATGTTGAATTAAAAATAAGCTGCGATGGATCTTCCAATAATATAGGGAGAATATTGATGAGGGGCCCACATGCAATGCTTCGTTATTGGGGGCAAAATGGTCCACGTCAAAGTTGGCTCGATACTGGAGATATAGGGCAGATAGACGATCATGGTAGCCTATGGCTTATCGGGCGTGAAAAGGGTCGAATCAAGAGTGGAGGGGAGAATATTTTTCCAGAAGAGGTATAAAAATTATAAAATCGATTTTGTTATATAACATACACATTTTATTTTCATATAATGTCATTTTTTTTAATTTTAGGTAGAGGGTGTGCTGTTACAACATCCTGGAATTTCGAGCATTGCTGTAGTTGGAGTTCCGGATTCTCGATTAACGGAAATGGTAATTGCATGTGTTCGACTAAATGACAGCTGGCGGTGGGATGATTTTGGTGCTATCAATCACTCAGAGGAATATACCAAGTGTGTGTCGAGTGAGATTCTTAAGCGATTTTGTAGGCAAAAGAATTTAACAGGGTATCTTTCTGTCTCTTCATTATCGATTTCTCTCGTTTTCGGACAGCATTAACTAAAATATCGAAAACAATGCAGGTTTAAGATTCCGAAAAGGTTTGTTTTGTGGAAGAATGCATTTCCAATGACAACAACTGGGAAATTAAGGAGAGACAAAGTCAGAGAAGATGTGTTGTTGTCTCATACTCAGTTTCTGTCAAGCAAACTGTGATGTTTTGTTTTCTGGAAAAAAATATATGTAATTTTGTAATGTTATCAATAATAATATGTCATATCCAATAAAATGTGGTTAATGAATCAAGCAAATAAAATGTGGTTAATGAATCTAGCAAATAAGTTCAGTTCCATATTTGCTTAAACATAATTCGGAAAACTACAAGTAAATAAATAAAAAGTTCAAATGTCACCGTTTTTGGTTCCAAATTATTTCGAAATCAGCACAACCAATAGGTAAATTGAACTTCCCCCCCCCAAAAATTAAAAAAATTAAAAATTAAAAATAAGGTGTTCTGATTCAGCAATATCATAAACTCATAAATCTTTTAAAGTATTTATATATATAAAAAGAGAAAAATAATTTTAGATTGTATTTTTTAAAGAAGTAGTTGAAGAGTATGATTATCAATCATAAAACATGTCTCCTAACAAAAAGACATTTTTGAAGATGATGATAATGCCAACTGTCTCATAATTAGGACTGTTAAGATAATATATTTTAAATCATAAACTGGGATTAACAAAGTTAATTAACAAAAAGAAATGGGTCACAAATTGAGAATAACTTATTTCTGTGGGCCTTAACTGAGAATACATATATTTTCATGTACTCCGTGGTAAATCAAGAATATTTGCGAGGACGAGTCAACCTCGAAGTTCTAATACCAACAAAATAAATATACGCAATTTTATTATTTTATGATTTTATAATAATACTGTAGTGTTGTTTTATCTTCCTGGGACGCTTCACGTACCGGATTTACCCTCGTTGATAAAAACCAAATGTTGAGTCAAATTGATGGCAAGTGATGTAATTTACGTACTAATTTGGCCTCATTATTACCTCTATTCACTCCCGCTCTTTCCTACATTTTTGCTGCTGTTCATTTATTTTCTCCCCCAAATTCTACTGTTCTTCTCACCATACTCCCACCCATCAAACCCTAGAAAGTAGAAACCCTAATTATCAGCTGTACTGGAAATTAAAGTGATATTAATAGCAAAAGCTGTCGCTTTTTCAAATAGTTTGTACTGTGAAGTGTGAATTATCAGGTTAAAGACGGGGAAGTATTTATCCACTCATTTACTTGTAAGTCGGCGCACTTTTTTCCGCTGTTTTTTTTTTGGTTTTTTGTTGGTTTCTTTGTTCTTTTCTTCGTGTGAGCTTCTTTTATGTCATAAGTGTAGCTTATTTATTATTTGTGGGTGTTTGATTGAATTTGTAATTGTTCGATTTTAGCTAACTCTATGTATGTTTTTTGCTGGATAGATTCAGGTAGCTATATGTGTTATGGGAAGTCAGGAGGCGACGGTAAATCGCGGAATTTCGAACGGGAGTGCTGTTTGGAGTGGAAATGGCTTAGAACTAGTGCACAGTGAGAATGGGTTGGTGCGGCTGGGTGGCCGTGAAGAGGGGAATGTAAATTTAGCTGAGGAGGTTTTGGAGGATTTAGAGGAGTACTGGGAAGATATGAGTGATAGATTAATGATTTCACGGATGGTTAGTGATTCTGTTATCAAGGGAATGGTGACAGCTGTGGAACAAGAAGCCGAGGAAAAAATTGCGGCCAAAGAATTGGAAATTGCCAATTTGAAGGAGCGTATGCAGTCCCGTGAGCTCGGTACTGGTAAATATGACGATGCGAATCGGAGGTTATCTTGTTCTGGTGATGTCTGTGTGAAACATGAAAAAATGAGGGAGGATTTGCATGCTTTAAGGAATTTAGCAAGAGAGCAGTTCTTGAAGGCTAAGAGGGAGATTGAGTGTGTGAGAGGATCTAGTTCGATCAAGAAGATTGGTTCCAGTTCAGAGTTGCTGGGTTTGGGTGGAATTTTGCAAGAAAAGCAATCTGAAAGCTGGATAAAAGTTGATAAGATACTGGGATGTCTGAAGACAACAGTGGACACTGTCTGCACAAAGTTGGATGGTATACTGTTATCCTCCGAGATTTCACTTTGTGAGTTGCAAGAAAATATAGATATATCAGCAAAACTTGAAGATATGGTGATACAAAGTGTACATGGAAATAACTTGGAGGAGTACAAGGAGAACTTGTTGGAACAAAATGCTCAATTTTTTGGAGTTCAGAATGTCAACTGGCTTGAAAAGTTCAACGATATTTCTAAATTAGGTACCCAATTGGATGCAATTCTGAAGTCACTATCAGTACCTGAAACAGGGTTAGTTTCTCATGGATCGCATGATTTGGACCATTTACACCACAAGGCCTTCAACAATCATGTTACTCCACCAGCCTCACATAAAGGAGAAAATGGGAAACTAGATGTGTCCAATATTCATGTTGCTGAGAGCTATGATCTTCAGCAGCTGAAACACATGACCAGAGAAGACCTGGTCAATTACTTCAATAACACGATTATTAAGATGAAAAGAGACCATGAGTCAGTTGTACAACAGAAGACTGAAGAATATTTTCGTCTTAAAAGAGAATACCTGAAAGAAAAGGGATCCTTCGTGACACACAGGAAAGATGAAGAATTTGATGTGGTAAGGAAGAAAATTCCTGAAGTTATTTCGAAATTGGAGCACTTCCTCACAGAAAATGAAAGATTTCCTGCATTAATAAACGTTCTTGAAGGTACTGGGAAATTGAAAGATAGGCTAGACTGCGTTCTCTCTGAAAACCAACAACTGAGAGACTCTCTTGCAAACAAGAAAATTGAGGTGAAAAGTCTCGAAGCGCAGGTTTCGGGTGCTGCTGCGGAATTATTGCAGCGGTCTTTGGCTGAGGAAAACATGCTAAAGCTTGTGGAGAATCTCAAGTCAGCAATGGAACAATCATGTTTAGAAGCTTCACTCGGTGAAGAAATATATAAATCTGCTCTCAGAGAGCAGATTGCACAATCGAGGTGCGACTCTGAAGATTCAAACATGGAGTTTCTTATGACTCAAGATATATTTGCTACTGTTCTCCGGGGAGCTGCTTATCATGCTGAAACCGCCAACAAATACGAAATGGAAGATTCAGATATTGAATCATTGATATCACAAGGATTGATAGAAGTAGTATTCGCAGAAGCTATCAAGGATGCTGGGCAGCAAATCAATGAATTGTATCGAGAAGTTGCTGTTGATAAAGAAATTAGAACTTCTTTAGAGAAAAAAGTTATTGAAAAGGAAAACGAAGTAAGACTGGAGGTTGAAGAGAAGGAGAAATTGAAGCAGGAAATACTGGATTTGGGAATAGAAATGAAACAGAAGGAGAAATTAGCAATCAATCTGACAATTTTATTGTCAAAAGAGAAAGAGCAGTTTGAGCTAGCTTCTCGAGAACTTAGTAGTTTAAGGGAACATGCTAATAGACAGGAAACATTGGTTGCTGAGAGCAACAGGGATTTTAAAATTGTGAGGTCTCAATATTTAGAAGCATTGGAGAAGATAGAAGTGGATAAAATGGAAATAGATAAGCTTAACGAAAAGATTGGTCAAACAGAAGAAGTATTAACCGAAGCCAGCAAAGAGAGGGACAGAGCAGTTATTCTTGCCCAAGGAATGCGTGATGAGTTACTATTATATGAAGCTAGAGAGGAGAAGCTGAAAAAGGGAATGGAAATGGGGGCGAATGGACTCTCAAAATTGTTTATTGATTTTGAGCACAGAGTATTAGGGGCACTACAAAAGAATACTTTAAGGTATATCACGCAAATGTTTTATTTTCTATTTAACTTTGATTCTTATATAATCCAGATCACTTTTCTCAAAATTTAAGAATATTGATTTCTTTGTTGAGGCGCTTGTGTTTTACAGATTTCATTGCATTTTTTCCTGTTTAAGCTTTATTTGAGGAAAAGTCTTCTTGAAATATCTATGTTTTTATTGGTATGATTGTATAGGAATATCTTATGGGCGTGCTGGTTTGCCTATTTTTAGGTATGCAGGATCTTAGTTTAGAATTAATTTTAGGGCAGTAAGAAACATTTCTGCATTTTGGAGGCTTATCACAGAGACTTAAGAATATGTATATTCCTCTTAAGAATGCATGTCTTATATTCGGTTTTTTAATCTCCCTTTGAGATAAAATCATTATTTGGAGTACTTTCTAAAATATCAGATTTGATTTGCAATCTTGATTGTGTTGATTTCTTTTGGGGCTCATCTTTACAATTGCCAGGTTGGAAGGTACTAGTTCTCACTTGGAAGCTCTTACCAAGAAGGCTACTGTACTAAGAAGAACAGGGCAGATGTACAAACAGAAGTTGGAACACAGATGTGATGATCTCCAAATGGCTGAGGCTGAGGTAATTCTTGAAAATTTTGTTCGTGCATTTGTGCATGTCAAGACATTATATTATGAGGTCATTTTAATTATTTGCTTTTAATAAGCCGTCATATGTACCAGTGAGTGATGAAGCTTGACGTGGCTGTGCTTATTTTAGATATTAAATTATGAAAATTCTCTTTAACGGAAAGCAGGGAATTGCGGTTATAACAATTTCGAGGTATTGATTAGATGGTTGAATGTGATCCCCACTAATGGCGATGTGATATTATGTTACACACATAATGATGTAATATGTGCTGTAGACCTGTTACTAAATCTGCCACATCCAATATAATAAGTTGTCGACTAGATTATACGTAGGAAAGTAATATTGACACATTAAATGATTTGAGTGTTTGTCAACCCGTTGCCCCATTCCACTTTTGACGTGAAAAGTTTAGGCAGGCTTTCTTGCAATTTTCTTGTAAAATAAGTTAAGGTGTATAGGCTGTCTCTCAATCCTTTGATTGATTTTGACTATTTCCTTGCTCCAGGTTGACCTGTTAGGGGATGAGGTTGATACTCTGTCGAGATTACTCGAGAAAATATACATCGGACTTGATCATTACTCTCCAGTTTTAAAGCATTATCCCGGGGTAAGTCAAATCAGGATTTCCATGAGTGAAATGTTGTCTTTCCCCATCTCTTCTTATTGGGCATCTAACATGCTGTCTAATGTTCATATGCATCTGATATACCTTCTTGCTCGAGGTCATTGATAAATTGGATAGTAACTTTTTTGTTAATATGTTTTTTTTTAAAGAATGCTGTAAATCCTCATTTCATAAACTCCAAATTGGGTTTTGATGTCATAAATAAGTATAACCTATTGTCAAATGTCACCACATCGATTTCTACTTCCGAATGGAAAATTTCCCGTGAATATAACAAGTCCATATTGCATCATTGCAGATTATTGAGATCCTTGAGCTGGTCAGGAGGGAGTTGAGGGGAGAATCTACTATGAGGACGTGGTCAACTCCTACCAAGGTCAGAAAACACGTTGACCGCAATGCAACTACTATATCTTAGGCCTTCACAATTCCAAACACTGCCTTAAATATAAGCAGATACTGCCATTTAAGATTAGTTTTTTACTTTTACATTGTTTAACAGTCTTAGTTGTGATTATATTCGTCAGGATGGATCAAATCTCTCTAATGGGCTACGGTAGATTCTCTGATACGATTATCTTTAGAGAAAGGCTTTTTTTGGATCAAACCGAGAACTGCACATACTCAACCAAGGAAACATCTACAAAGGTCTGGTTCTCATAGGTTGTATACTCGTTTCTCGTTAACTTTTGCTTCCATGTACATGACCACATGTAAATCTGCTGTCACATTAGTTAGATTTGTTTGATGGAGGCTCGAGTATATATATATACATTCGTTTCCTTTTTCTTAGAAACTGATATAAATTCCAACAGGGTGGCAGCTGGTCTCGTTTTGCAATCGCTGTCTCGTTTTAAATTATCTGATTGCTTTTGTAGCAAAGCTTTTTGTTCAGAAGGGGCTGCACCATGTCCTTTTGTGTAATTTAAGACGATCGGTTACTCTAATATAAATCGCTTATTTTATTTTTTTCACCGCATGAATGATCATTTTGTTAAGTTGTACATGCAAGCTACCTAGTTCTATTACATAGATTCACTATAATTTGTTATTAAAAAAAACTTAGAAGTCAGAATCCAAACAGCGATTTAGTAGTTAGATCAATGTTTTTTAATTCTTTCAAATAAATTAATCGAAATATAAATAATAAATATTACAAAAATAAATAAACACCACTTTATTTTTCAAATTCCTCTTTTAATAAATACCTTTTCGTTTTCAAACACAAAATAAAATTATAGCCCGCATGGGTGTAGCTCAACTTGTTTCGGATGTGGTAAGTTTGTACAAAGTCCTAGGATCGAATCTTGGCCAAGAGACGGACGATGGATTTCGCCTTTTGGTACAATAAATAAAACTGAAATGATTTACGCGGCAGCAAAATTACGAATGTCGTTCACAATAGTCTTCTCTTTCTCTCTAAAAATCCTCAAATCCACCCAAACCCCAAAATCCCCAAAAGCCCCAAAATTCACAAAAATCCTCAACCTTTCTCACAAATCCTCCCAAATCTGAAAATCTCGTTAATTTGAAACGTAATTAATCATCTAAAGTAGTTATATATATTGAATTTGTGGTTAATCATATGAAAATCCCATGAAAATCACGATTTTGAGCTATTTTTAGTGTTGGGTTTTTGAATTTTCCACGCCCAAAATGGGCGTGGGAAAGCAGTTTCCACTTTTTTTTTTTTGCCCAATATAACTGAATTGAATGAGTATACTTAAATAAGTCTAAGTTTACAAACTTTCTGTAGCTTAGTTGGTCAAGCGTTTTATCTATTGCACAGTAGACCCGTGTTCGAGTCATGGTAGCAGCGCGTATTTCATTATTTTTTGCCCAGTATAATAAAATAGATAATTATAGTTAAATAAGAATTTATCACTAAAGTGACTGTAGCCTACCTGGTTAGGCATGTTAGAACTTCAGCAGAAGGCACTCGTTTTCGAGTGCTTAGAGTAGCACAAATATATGATTTTTTTTTATTTTTTTATTTAAACTCATTCAGCACGCGCGCCCAAATCGGGCGCGGATAGCTGTGTTGGGCGCCCAAACCGGGCGCCGGAAGTGCTTTTCCGCGCCCAAACCGGGCGTGAATCGAGCTTTTTTGCGCCTAGTTGAACAAAATTTACCTCATTGGTTCCGTTTCTCGATCCTCATTCGATGCATTCATTTTTCTTTGCAAATTGCTACAATAACATGGTTTTTGAAATGATTTCTAATATAAAAGCTAAAATTGTAGAGAGAGAAAGAAAGATAGATAGTGGATTTTTTAAAACGACATTCGTAATTTTGCTACCGCGAATATCAGCTCCCTAAATAAAATTATAAAATGTTAATTTCTCAACATTTTTTTTATTATTACAATTTACACGGGCCTTATTATAAGCACGTGATAAAATGGGCCGTATATATTGTACGGGCCCTATCTTGGGCGATAATAAGCACGTGATAAAATGGGCTGGCCCGTTAACTCTGATTGGGTTAGCGTTGTACCAAAGCGTGAAGAATTTTCCCTTCCATAAAACCCTAGAACCTCACTCCTCTTAATTGAACTGCATTTTCCACTTCTTTTTAATTTCCAGAAATTTTGAAGAAAAGCAGAGGGATAATTATATATACATAGGGAAATGCCTCCGAAAGCAGCAAAATCGAAGGAAGCACCTGCCGAGAGGCCCATCCTCGGACGCTTTTCTTCTCACCTCAAAATTGGAATTGTGAGATTTCATTTTTTTTGTCAAATTATTGATTCAATGTTGTCTTGGTTCTTATTGAATTCTTAGGTAGCTTGTATCTTTAGCTGTTGGATGCTTATGGATTGGATATTACTGATTTTAATCAGTCAAATGTGGGGAGTGATAGTGTTGAACATTAATCAGATATCTGTTGTTTAGTTCTCTATCGTTAACTTTTTTCGATTGGGTTTTGAATTTTTGCTGCAAGCATCTAATTATCTTCGGATTCTCTGTTTGGTGTCCGATCATTCTGTTATCTTTCTAATGTATGGAATGGAAGTGTTGAATTGTGCACTTTGTTGTACATACAGTTTGTTTACTGATTTAAAATACAGAGATTGGGACGGCACATCTGGTATTTTATTGCTGACTGTAATGTAATATTCTTTTTTCCAGGTTGGGTTGCCTAATGTGGGGAAGTCAACACTATTCAACACACTGACCAAGCTATCTATACCCGCTGAGAACTTTCCCTTCTGTACAATTGAGCCCAATGAGGCTCGTGTCAATATCCCCGATGAGCGATTTGACTGGCTTTGCCAACTCTTTAAGCCTAAGAGCGAGGTTTTTTCTTACACAATTTCATTATTTATTTCTTTTTCACTGATTATGCTATACTATCTGTAGCGGGACTGTGTTTTAGTTTATTGCGTTGTGGTCTTAGTGATAGCTTTTGTCTATGCGAGGTTAGGTTTCAGCTTTCTTAGAAATTCATGATATCGCTGGACTTGTTCGTGGTGCTCATGAAGGACAAGGATTGGGAAACAATTTCCTGTCTCATATCCGTGCAGTTGATGGAATTTTTCATGTTTTACGTAAGCTTCATATCACTGTTCTTTTCTTTGGCTAATATCTTTTTGAGCAGAACACAGTTGGATTACTTCATGGTAGTCCAAGACAGTATTTTTTTTTCTCTAGATGACTAAAAGTATGTATCTTTTATCTATAAATTTCCATATAGATGTTGCACGCCTTTTCACTATCATTGTTCTTTTCTTTGGCTAATCTCTTTTTGAGCAGAACACAGTTGGATTACTTCATGGTAGTCCAAGACAGTATTTTTTCCTCTAGATGACTAATGATATGCATCTTTTATCTATAAATTTCCATATAGATGTTGTATGCCTTTGCATTTGCCCTTAAATTTTATATTGGCATGCTCAGTACTGTCAGTGTCTTATTTTTCATAAGCAGAGTTTGCGCTGTTCTCGACTTTCCATCGATATTCAGCAATTCTTACTTCCAGTATTTGTATGACATCATGTAATCGAATTGCACAATTAGGGGGTCAAGAACATTCTTATTTCCTGTATAGTATTTGCCTTTTAGTTGCATTTGAAATCTCGATATTATCCTTGGTGACTCGGTGTATCCTGTGAGGTAATAGTATTGTGCCATGCAGGTGCATTTGAAGATCCTGATATTATCCATGTTGATGACCAAGTGGATCCCGTGAGGGATTTAGAGACTATATCTGCAGAATTGCGTCTGAAGGTAAAGTTAATTCCACTATTCGTGTCAGAAATATCTTTTAAGGTTCACCACTTAGGAATTCTGGATCCATAGCCGACTTTGTTATGCTGGTTTCGGAATGTTAATATTTTTTATATGATGCTAGGATCTCGAGTTCATGGAGAGGAGAATTGAAGATCTTGAAAAGAGCATGAAGAGGAGCAATGACAAGCAACTGAAAATTGAGCATGAGTTATGCCTACGGGTATGTTCTTAATTTAGACAACTTTGATCCCATTCTAGACCCACTGCATGCTACATTGCATGTCAAGTTCGTTCTATCAGCTGTCTTACTTATCTATCTGGGGTTGTTAGTCATTCTGTATGATTACGTAAAATAATTGAAACTAAGAGGTTGTTTGATTCAGTTTATCACAAAGTTAGGCTCCTACATCGTGCAAGAAGTTCAAGATATTTTTGGAGCATACACATCCTTCTATTATTTTCCCAAAGAAACTGTAAAATATTTGGATACTCCCTCCGTTCCTAAATAAGTGTCGTTTTTCACTTTTCACAAAGATTAAGAAATTCAATTAATGTAGCTTGATTTTAAAAAAATCACATAAAAATGACTAAAACAACCTTTATCATTTAATTATTTATAAGAGAGAATTAATGTTTAGAGATGCATTAATAAGGTTAAAACAGTACAAATGCATTTAATGCAGTATTGGAAATCTAAAGTGACAGATAATATGGAACAAAAATATTTTTAAAAAAAGACAGTTATTGTGGAACAGAGGGAGTATTATATAAGCTCATACAGATGCAAAGACTCAAGATTTTAGTAATGTTATTTACTTTTTTCCACTATTATGGACATTTTTTACTCATGCTTCGACTATGTTCTTTATTGCACATACATTCTAAGTATTCTTCTCTCTTAGCTGATTCTTAGTTCTTACTCGCTCTTTTATCTTTGCTGATAAATATGACACTACAGTGGCTTTTTTGGCATGTTGAGGAGGTTCAAAACTTAATTTGCTTTTGTGAGTTGGAAATTAGTCTTAACTTGATCTTGGCTTTGGCTGGTGATCATACATGCCTGTTTATTGTTGGTGAAACAGTTAAACTAAATCTCAGGAATGTGTAATGGCTAGTACATGAATTGTAATTACCTCAGGAAATGTACCAATAATGAATCCTTATAATTTATTGGTTCACAAGGTCAAAGCCTCTCTGGAAGAAGGAAAAGATGCCCGCCTGGTGGATTGGAAAGCTGCTGATGTTGAGATCTTGAATACTTTTCAATTGCTTACCGCGAAGCCTGTTGTTTACTTGGTGAGTAAATACTTGAAATTCGAAATACGTGGATATGTTTTTTTTTTTTTTAAATTTTATTTGGTCTTGATTTTTAGTTAAGGATAAATATTGTTTTTTCCATAACAGCTACATTGTTTTTGGTGGATTCGGTATAACTTATTGGTTTTATGAAGAAAAACATGTAGGCTTATTTTATTTTTTAATGCATGGTTTTGAATAGGAAAGTTAAAGTCAAATTTGTTGGCATCCTCTTTAAAGAGGAATAGTTGAAATATTTGGAACTTCCTGTTCTGTCAACATAATGGAATGCTCTTAGTAGTAGAGGGCCCTGTTGTATGTTTAACTAGTATCAATTTTCTATCTAGCTGCCAGAATTTTGCTTCTCTATGGAGATGGCATGAATAATTGAAGGCTGAAAAAGATGCTCCATTTGTTACTACTTTTGAACTTTTCCTTGTGCGACTCAAATTTATTTAGGTTAATGTAGTCTGTTTGATGGGTTAGAGATATGTCTAATGTTTCCTTGCTGCCCTTGTCCTGGATTAGCCCATCAGCTTTAGGCGTTTTCTATGCTTCAAATATTACTTCATTTGCCTGACATCGCCTCTAATTGTCTGTGATCTGGAACAGGTAAACATGAATGAGAAAGATTATCAAAGAAAAAAGAACAAATTTCTCCCGAAGATCCATGCTTGGTATGTCTCATACCTGATAATCTTCAACTCTTTTCATTGTGCTTGAAATATCAGTATGCATCGGTTAGTAGAAAAAATTGCCGTCCATCAAAATATAACATTTCATATTATACATGTAATCTTATGGAGTATTTTGTAAAATGAGATAATTGTTTTGGAATATTAAGTTCAAACTACGCCATTTAACAAGTTATTAAGGCACTTCCTCATTCTTTGGTGGTCAGTGAGCCCTTCTGGGATACCCTAAAAGTTGGTCAACTAATTCTTAATTTTTCTTGCCTCCAAACTCAAGTTATCAAGCAAGGCGGAACTTTTTCATCTTGCTCTCGTAGTGGTTCTCCATATTGTTGCTTGATAAGTTTGCTTTTTGATTTTCTAGGGTGCAGGAACATGGTGGTGAAACTATGATCCCTTTCAGTTGCTCTTTAGAGAGGAATCTTACTGATTTGTCCCCTGATGAAGCTGCTAAGTATTGTGAGGAGAACAAGGTTCAAAGGTTAGTTGATGATCATCTGTGATATGGTTTTCTATACAATTTGGAAACATATAATGGTTTTCTTGGAAGTGATAGCTGAGAATGAACCTATTATCTTAAGTTGCAAAACTCGATATATTCTGATTTTGGGAGCCGTAGTTTGACTGAATTGATGGGGAAATGATTTATGAAAATGATACGAATTTTTTATGCTACAGTGCTCTTCCAAAGATCATAAAGACTGGATTCTCAGCCATCAATCTTATATACTTCTTCACTGCAGGACCCGATGAGGTACTTCATAGAATTGTTCTTGTTCTATTTTCATATTTACGTCATTTCTCCTGCATCCTCCTGACTGTAATTATACATTATTTCATCGTTCTATTTTCATATTTACCTTTCTAGAAATATTCAAGAATAAATTTACTCTCATGCAGGTTAAGTGCTGGCAAATTCGTCGGCTGACTAAAGCTCCTCAAGCTGCTGGAGCAATTCATACTGATTTTGAAAAAGGTTTCATATGCGCTGAGGTAAGTGCATACCTTTCCCTTTATTTTCTACATGCACAATCATATTTTTTGCAAAATTCTCTCACAATAATTCCCTTTGTGTTGATGATTTTGATTTTATGTGTGCGTGCGTTGATTTATTTTTCTTAAATTTAGCATCCAATTAGCGGAAAGTGTTATACTCTCTTCTCTATACATATATGTTTAGATCAGCAAACTCTTGACGAGTTCATCTTCAAATCACATAGAAATATATGTTTGACACTACTTTTTTCTAATCTTTTGTACTTACTATCACGCCCCAAGTATCTCCCACCCCCCTCCTTCATTGGAGCAGCATTTTGAAGTTCTTGATAACATATACTTCCACATTAATTTCTGCATTTTGTTGTTCGACATGATTCACCTGCATCAGAATATTTATATATACTATTGTTCATGGTGGTCGTGCTTCTCATTTTCAAGTGCAACACTTAAATTCTCTTTCATTTCTTGCTTGTTACTCATTTACTCATTTATGCTTACAACTGGATTTTGTGATGCATTCATTAGGTTATGAAATTTGAAGATTTAAAGGAACTCGGGTCTGAGCCAGCCGTAAAGGTATATTTATGCTATACGTGTTATTAATTCATTTTGAAATGATAATTAGACGCGCTATGGTTTCCATGACGTCTAGATTTGGACAGTGCTTCGTAAAAGTTCAAAAATAGATGAGCATCTGTTTCATGAGAATATTAGGATAAATCTTTCAAGTATTGTTTACGATAACACACTAATTCCTCGCTACGAATTGAAAGATAACCTTTATCAATGGAAGATCTTATTAACTGGAAAATCCCAGGCTGTGAATTTTTTTCTTGTGCAAACTGATAACAGTATCATAGTTTCTTAAGACAGCTGATTATTGAAATGAAGGAATAGAAAATAATGAACTGTCATTAGGGTTTTCGTGCTACACAAGCATTTTTCTAGTTTACTAAATTTTTGAGAAACATGCATGAACTATGATTCTCTTGCACAGGCGTCTGGAAAGTATCGACAGGAGGGAAAGACGTACATCGTCCAGGATGGAGACATTATTTTCTTCAAATTTAACGTTTCTGGTGGTGGCAAGAAATGAGGTCTTTTAATATGTTTATTTTTCAATACCAATTTTACTGGTCGAATTGAAAAATTGGACACTAAGTTATGTGTAATTTTGCATTTGATTTATCTGTTTCATGAGAGTTGTACAAATTTTGATATCTTTGATTAGAGCATGAAGATTTTATCGTGTTGTACTTTATCAAAGTTGAGTTGATCATGTTTTCTGCAATTAGAACAGGTAAAACAAGTTTATGCTTTTGTGTTAGAACTGCAGAGATTGATAAATAAATAAATTTAGAGATTGATGGTTATTGAAATACTCTGTTGTAATAAATGATTGCCAATTATGGCAGTAAGGAATGAATGCAGTTGGACCAGTGTTGCTACCAATCCCTTTCTTACAGTGTACCTATTGGCTATGGGGTGGGTCCCATTTTATATCATATAGAGTTCATGTCATTACACTCTCACCTACTTCACCTCTCATTAATTTACTCTTTTTTTCTTGTCTTCCATATTTCCAATGTAAGAATGACACTGACATTTGTTTTATGTTTTGAACTAACACTAATTAAGAACATATATGCATATATTTATGTAAGTATGCATAAATGAATTATAAGAATCTTGTTGCAGTTGATGTCAAGATTCCCTCAAAATTTTGGCGGGTAAAGCTTCAAAATTAGTGACAAATTACTCCCATTCAGAAATCTTTGTTTATTTCTTTAGCAGCAAATAAAAGACGAATTAAATTCAGTTCTCTAGTAAAGCAATTTAAGACAATCTGAAAATTCCAAAGAAAGGATTTTTATGTTGGGCCTACCACATGTCTCTTCATTTTTTGTATAATTACCAGAGGTTTACGGAGCTTTGACGTGCCAAAGGTTTTCCGGGACCATCGTTTTCCTCGTCTTTAATTCATCTGCACTGCTAATATGAACACACCCCTTTTGCTTCGTTTTCTTGCTTCTTGTTTTTTGTATATGAAAAATCTATGTTGTTAGTACACTTGTTTTGTTGTAGTGAAAATGATGATGATGATCTTTAGGCTTTGTTTGGTTTGTCTTTGGTTTTTCGGTGCCACGGGGCAGCTCCCTTCTGAGGAAACTTCAATACTGCTCGAGTTCAAAAGAGGAATCAAACACGACCCAACAGATTTTGTGCTGAATTCGTGGAAATACGAGTCCGTTAATTCCAACGGCTGTCCTAAATCTTGGTACGGTATTACATGCACTAGCAGTAATGGTAATATCGAAGCCATTGTTCTCGACAATCTAGGATTATCCGCCGATGTCGATTTGAGTATATTCTCAAATCTGACAATGCTCGTAAAACTCTCGATCTCCAACAACTCAATTTCCGGAAAATTGCCCGAAAATCTCAGCGGTTTCAATAGCCTCGAGTATTTGGATATTTCAGACAATGGGTTTTTTTCGTCATTACCATCGGATATTTTTATTTCTTCGTCAGTCAAGCATTTAAATCTCAGCCATAATCGAATAACCGGATCACTACTCGGTTATGGTGATGATTTTGGTGGATTAAAAGTATTGGATTTGAGCTATAATCAGTTAACAGGGGAATTACCTGGTTTCAACTTTGTCTATGATCTTGAAATCCTTAATCTTGGTAATAACATGTTTTCTGGTTCTGTTCCTAACAATCTCTTGAAAGGGGGTTCTTTGGTTCTTACTGAATTGGACTTAAGCTGCAACAATCTCTCCGGTAAGTACCGAAAAACATTCATTTTTTTTTTTAAATTTTTTTTTGGTGTTATGACAGTAACTAATAATGTGTTTTTACTTGACAGGAACTATAAGTGCTATTACATCAACAACATTACAAACTCTCAATCTTTCCTCGAACATACTCTCCGGTGAACTTCCACCGTTGACCGGGAGCTGTGCTGTAGTTGACTTCTCGAAAAACCAATTCGAAGGAAATTTAACGAAGCTACTAAAATGGGGGAATGTGGAAGTTCTTGATCTTAGTGAAAACCGTTTAACGGGCCCCGTTCCAGAGGTAACAGCTCAATTTCTACGTTTGCGTTATTTAAACATCTCCCACAATTCCCTCATTGGTTCTCTTCCGAAAGTGATCACATCATTACCTAAACTCATGATTCTTGATCTTAGCTTCAATTCGTTCGTTGGACCTTTATTAACTAATCTTCTAACATCATCAACTCTGCAAGAACTTCACTTAAAGAACAATAAACTTTCGGGAAGCATTGACTTTTCGCCTTCTTTTACTACAAATCTTCGAGTACTTGATTTGTCCGAAAACGAGCTTTTCGGTTTCTTACCTAATGAGTTCGGTTTTTTCACTAAACTTCAAGTGCTTGATATTGGAGGGAACAACTTTTCGGGTTCTTTGCCTGTTTCGATTTCTAACATCACTGTCCTAAATTCGTTAGATATATCTCGAAATCATTTCACCGGTCCAATTCTTGAAAACTTATCCAACACTCTCCAAAGCTTTAATGCATCGTATAACAATCTTTCTGGTGTGGTCCCACAAAATTTGAGGAAGTTTCCTTTATCTTCTTTCTACCCCGGAAATTCCCAACTCCAATTCCCTAATCCACCTCGTAACTCTTACAAAAACCCGTCCGAGAATCGAAGCAAGAATCATTTCAAAACCATCATCGTACTTGTAATAATATCCGTTTGTGTTGTGGTTACTGTGATAATCTTGTTCCTTCTCGCCATTTTCATTCACTACAAACGCAAATCAAGAGAGCCTTCACCAAACATAACCGAATTAAAAGACGCCAGCTGTCACTCTTCGACGAATACATCGAGCTTCATCAGTCCACAGGTGGATCTTGCAACAGACGAAAAGTCAACAACAACAATAACCGGTTTATCTCCATCGAAGACAAGCCAGTTATTATGGTCACCTGTTAGCTCCGGGGATTCAAATACTGGATTGGATGCCAGCTCACCCGAGCGCTTAGCTGGCGAGCTGAACTTTCTAGATGACACGATTTCCTTTACGCCCGAAGAATTGTCGCGGGCCCCGGCGGAAGTTCTTGGAAGGAGCAGCCATGGAACTTGTTACAAAGCAACTCTTGACAGTGGTTTGGTGCTGACTGTGAAGTGGCTTAGAGATGGAGTTGCAAAACAGAGAAGGGAGTTTACTAAAGAAGCTAAGAAGTTTGCGAATATTCGACATCCGAATGTCGTTGGTTTGAGAGGGTACTATTGGGGGCCCACACAACACGAGAAGCTTATTCTCTCGGATTACATATCTCCTGGAAATCTCACGAGTTTTCTTTACGGTAAACCAAATGCTCGACTATTTTTATGTACCGCTTGTATATAATTATTGTCTAGGTGTGGAAACTGGAAATTAGCACTTTCGGAAAAAAAAATCCTTTTTTTTTTTCGGAAGAGAAAAACCAATTCCAATCCCGTTAAAAAAATCGAAAATCGGAATGGAAAAAACTTGTTCCAAAATTGAAAAATTTCGGATTAGATTTGACGGAATTCAACATTTCAAAATTTCAGTCACCTATGATATAAAATACATAATATTCTAAGTTAATTTCAGAACAAAATTCAGAGTTTTTGGAATTTTTTGAAAATCGAATTGAAAGACGGAATCTTATAATCGAAAAAATCAGAATTTTTGGAGTTCAGAACGAAAAATAGTTTTCCATAATCGGAGAAATTCAGCAATTTCGTTTTGATTTCCACCCCTATCACTGTCTATATATTGTTCAAGTACTAACAAATACATTGCATGCAGATCGTCCGGGAAGAAAGGATCCACCGCTAACGTGGGCTCAAAGGCTCAAAATAGCAACCGATATTGCGCGTGGTCTAAACTATCTCCATTTTGATCGTGCTATCCCGCATGGAAATCTCAAAGCTAACAATGTACTATTAGACGGGCCCGATCTTAACGCACGTGTAGGTGATTACTGCCTACACCGTTTGATGACTCAATCAGGCACTATCGAACAAATTCTCGATGCTGGTGTATTAGGCTATCGTGCACCGGAGCTAGCTGCTTCTAGAAAGCCGGTGCCTTCTTTCAAGTCGGATGTGTATGCATTTGGAGTGATATTGTTGGAACTTATCACCGGAAAGTGTGCGGGAGATGTGGTTTCCGGGGAGGAGGGAGGAGTGGATTTGACGGAGTGGGTGCGGTTGAGGGTGTGTGAAGGAAGAGGGATATTGAATTGTTTGGATAATGTGGTGGCGCGTGAGATGGGAAATCCGGCGGTGGAGAAAGGGGTTAAGGATGTATTTGGGATTGGTTTGAGATGTGTTTGTTGTGTGTCTGAAAGGCCTGGCATCAAGACTGTGTACGAGGATCTATCTTCTGTTTGAATTGCTATTCAGCAATTGTAATGATTTTTCTTGGATTAGTTTTATGTATAATTTGTGATTGAGCACATTTAATTAACAAAATTAAGATGTTGTTTTAAGGATAAAATTGTCTTTCACTCCTATAAATTGAATTTGAGGAAGAGTGCTACTAATTTAACAAAATAATAACATGTAATTGCTGACTTTATGTACAGTAGCTGGTTAAGTTTGACTAAACACAATCTTATCGAACAAACGTTTTTACTAGTCCCTATTAGGCCTTGGTTAAATATGTAACCGAAAAATCGCGAAAGCAATCGGATTAATTTAAATTCAGCTCATTCAAATGGTAAATTGTAACAAATTTTTAGTTGATTTTAGATCTCAATTGATTAGATTAATAAAACATTATTATGAATGTAAATTTATTTTAATGAATTGTAAAGACAATTAAATAATAAAAGATAAATGCAAATAAATGAGTTGATTTGTAAAATAAGTCTTGGAAGATATTCTGCCCCTTCAATGGGAATTATAAATGTCATAAACCCAAAACCCATGAATTTCCCGGGCTACTGAAAAGCTCCAAATTTTCTTAAGAAAAAAGGAAAAACAAAAAAGAAAAGCAAAAAAGAAAAGCTCCAAATTGCCAAAACCCTTTATTCTCTCTCTCTCACACACACACACACAGAAACAAACAAGGGAAGCACACACACAGAGGAATCATACAAAGAAGGCAGAACGCGTGAGCCATCGTCAATGTGAAGGTACTGTGTATTTATTACTTGATCGTACAGTTTCTACTTTCTATATGATTGGGCAAATGATTTTTGGGCGGAATTTTTTTTATCCGCTCACTGCACAAAATATGTTTGGGTTTCTCCGCCATTGTTGAAGGTTTCAAAATCTTCTCGAAGAAGGAATAGAAACCCATGTGCTGATATGTACAGGGATTTTTTTTTGTGTGTTAATCACATCTCTTTGTGGGTTTCTTCTGTTTGCTTTAATTTTCTCGATAAAGTGAAAAAATAAATAAAATGATATGATTAAATCTTAATGGGTTATATGTGTATCTTTTAGAGCATCAGGCCGGATAATCTTACATAAAAATCAAACCCATTTTATGCAGGAGGCGAAAATTCGAAAATTCTTGATAGTGAGTGGGAAATAAGGTATCACATTTGCTCGTAGGTTATACCGATCACATTAATCGACTTGTGGGAAAATGATTGAAGCAGGAAAAACCCTAGCTAACCATACAAAGAAGCCATCATTGACACCAAAGGCGATCATACACCAGAAATTTGGCGATAAGGCCTGTTATAAGGTTGAGGAAGTACAAGATGATTCGAATCAAAATGGATGTCCGGGTTTAGCTATCCCGCAGAAAGGTCCGTCTTTGTATCGGTGCACTTTGGAACTTCCGGAAACTACCGTTGTCTCTGATGCCTGTAGAAGGAAAAAGGATGCTGAACAATCAGCTGCAGAGAAGGCCATAGAAAAGGTTTTTCGACTCGTTCCTTTTTCTAGTAGTGATTTTTTTTTTCTTAACTATCTGTTGTAGAAACTTATAGTGCATGATGTGATGGTTTTTAGCGTTGTTTGGTCCTAGAAAAATCATAGAAACGAATCATCTCGAAAATGGGGTAATTTTCTTTTGATTTCAATACTGATATATTATTCATAGTGTTTGGGAATACGGTTTAGATAATTTATTGAATTATCTACATTCTATATACAACAGTCAAACTCAGGTGTGCTAAAAAAAAACAGTTTTCCATTACGTATTAACAATTCAATTTTTTTTTCGTGTAGCTGGGCATTCAACTGAAGGAATACAATCCCACAAAAGAGGAAGCTTGGAATGATTTGGCCGGTCGTATTTCTTTCTTATTTTCAAATGAGGTATGTGCTGTGGAGCTTGTTAGTTATGTCAGTATCATATTACGTATAAGCTTATACCCTCCGTTTATAAGGTTGCTTGCTTCTTTCTTCGGAAACTGCATTCTCTCTGTTCTTAAGTATTATTCGCAACTGAAATTTTCTTTCCTTTTCCTTTTTTGCCCCTCAATGAAGTTCCTTCCGTCTTTGAATCCGCTCAGTGCTCACTTCAGAGCAGCATTGAGAAGAGAAGGCCATTTTAAAGGCTGTGTTCCATTATCTGTGCTTGCAATTTACGATGGCAAAGTTAGTAATATATGTAAATACATCGATCCTATGGCGGAATCGAATTCACTGCTAGTGATGTCACTAGTTCTAAGAGCAGCAGCTAAACTGACCGATTCTGTAGTGATATCTGATAAACAACTACAGAGGAGAAACGAATACCCGTTGGAGATATTATCTTCAACCAATAACGAATCAAATTTATCGGAAAGCATTTCGATCGATGTAGTAATTATTCCAGCTTCACTTGAGAAAGCTGTTGAATCTGTGAAGCTTAATTTTACTGCGGCTGGTTATTATCTAGACGTTATTGCTCGTGAACTAGGCATGAATGAGGCTTCGGATGTTATAATTTCCAGGTAAGATAAGCGTGGAATAATGAATTTAGGGAAATTAATGATGGCTCACTTTATTTAATAGAATTTGATATATCAATTGATTTTTCCGTTCTTTTTTATTACTTAAAAGAAGAGCTGATCTTTGTGTAGAACAATTGGCAAAGCTTCGTCCGAGATGAGAATATATTCAGCTGCTCCCAAACAACTCCTTTGTGACCAATTCGAAGGAACCCTAAACATCCGGGCGAGTTACTTTGCTGGTCAAGAAATACACGGTGATGGAATTTTAGCTTCTGTAGGGTACACATGGAGGTCTACCGATATTTTTCATGAAGCTGTTTCTTTGCGATCATATTACCGGTAAAAATATATATTTTTTTTGGAAAATATGTATTTTTGGTCTTCATATTTTTGTGGAATTTAATTTAATTTTTTTTACAGGATGCTTGTGAACAAAATACCTGGTGGGGCATACAAGATATCGAGAGATGCAATACTTGCGGCTAATTTGCCTTCAGCATTTACGATGAAATCCAATTGGAGGGGTTCTTTCCCAAGAGACATACTTAGTACATTCTGCCGTTTTCACTATTTGTCTGAACCTGTGTTCTCTACTCAAAGTAATTCATCAGAGGCATCTCTCGATTTACCTGGATCACGTAAAAAGCTGAAAGTGACTCAGTCGAACAAAGAAGAAAAAACCGAAGCTTTTTGCTGTGAAGTAAAGATTTATTCCAAAAATCAAGAACTGATCGTACAATGTTCCCCACAAGAAACTCATAGAAAACAGACAGATGCTGTGCAAATTGCTGCTTTAAAAGTCTTGTCGTGGCTAAACTTGTTTTTCGAAAACCCAAATATTTCTTCAGAGAAGTTAAACTTGCTAGCGGAAAATCTCGACATTCACTTTACTCCTCGTTACTTCTTTAAGGAGTTTGCATTATGCCACTCCATGCATAATAATAAGGCAGCGGAAAACGAACCATCTTTAATTGATATTACTGGTGAAAATTCTGGAGCTACTCCGTCTAATGGTTCTTTAGTATGCATAAGCTACTCTGTCTCGTTGTTTAGAGAAGAAGACTCCATCAAAGACCATCTCAAAAGCTGTGAAGAGTTTGAGTTTGAGATAGGCAATGAAGCTGTATTGCCTTATATCGAATCGGCTGTAGCACAAATGGCTATTGGCCAGTCTGCGTATTTTCAAGTAGATTTGCCTTCCGATGAGTTTATTTTAGCAACGGCTGTTGATTCTGCATCGGCTCTATCGTTGTTATCTTCAAGTAAGTTGGCAGTTTAAGAATATACAATATTCATTTTGGTTTATATATTTTAAGGGACTAATCAGACGGCAAATCTTCACTAGAAAATCTACTTTTTTTTTTTTTTTGATTTTTTATAATAATTATTTTTATTTGTTTAATTTTCTTAAATTTTTTTTTCTCTCACTATAGCTTTTATATTTGTTTCCTACAATTTTTGTCATCTTGTGGCAGAAAGATGCAAAATGGAGTACAATATTACTCTATTGCAAGTGACAGAACCGTTGGAAGAGAGAATGGAGCAAGCTCAGTTCAGCCCTCCTTTGTCGAAACAGCGTGTCGAATTTGCAGTACAGCAAATTAAAGAATCTTCTGCAGCATCTTTGGTATATATGATTAATGTCTCCTTCAAATGGTTTTCAAAGCTTATAATTAGCCAATTACGGAGTTGAAACTGATATTCAAATCACTTCAATTTGCAGGTCGATTTTGGTTGTGGTTCCGGAAGTTTACTGGATTCTTTGCTATCTTACCCTACTTCTCTCGAGAAAATTGTCGGTGTTGATATTTCACTGAGAGCTCTTACTAAAGCAGCCAAGGTTAGCAGCAATCTCCCCCCCCCCCCCCCCCCCACCGTTTTTTTTTTGTGTGTGTGTGTGTGTGTGTGTGTGTGTGTGTGTGTGTGGTGTGTTAATAGCTATTTCTACCACTGCAGTTACTGCACACAAAATTGAACAAATTATCGGAATCTAGTAGCAAAATCAAATACGCAGTGCTATACGATGGCTCAATCACGAAATTCGATTCTCAGTTGCATGGATTTGACATTGCAACTTGCTTGGAGGTACTCTTATTTCTCCCTCCTAACTACGACATTCAATCTTGGTAATATCGAATTATAAAGAAATAGGAACCACTCTTTGCATTTACTTTACCATATGGCTAAATATTATTTCGTAGTGCTGTCACACTATAAATCTATCGACTTTAATCTGCTTTTATCACATCTCCAAATTTCATAAAACTAACAATATTTTATTTACCATCCATGGTTGTATGTTTGTTGCTGAGTTATAGGTGATTGAGCATATGGAGGAAGAAGAAGCGAGCTTATTTGGCGAAGTAGTGCTGAGCTGTTTCCGTCCGAAAATCCTAATTGTCTCAACTCCAAATTACGAGTACAATGTTATTCTCCAAGGTTGTACTACAGAGGACCCGGACGAAAAGAATCAGACACAGGTTTGTAAGTTTCGAAACCATGATCACAAATTCGAATGGACGCGGGCACAGTTTGAGAGCTGGGCTGCTGACCTGGCGGCAACCCATAATTACGGGCTTGACTTTAGCGGTGTTGGTGGTGCTGCTGACGTGGAGCCTGGTTTTGCTTCGCAGATTGCTATTTTTAGAAGGCGCGAAGATAATTTTACGAACGTGGAATCGGATAACCACTATGTGCCGATTTGGGAATGGAATAGGGAGAATATTCCCCCCAAGGAGCAATGATTTGACCTAATATGGTGTTTTTTTGGGGGTAAAATGAATATTTTAATTGAGGGAATTGCCATCCACTATGTATGAATTCTGGGAAATCTATGAAAATATCCAAGTTGAGTGTTTTTAAATTTCTTCAAATATTATTTTTTGAATAATTATTGTTAGAATCAATATCAAAACTTGAAGAAAATCTGAGTAAATATTTTCCAAAATTGACAAAATAATTGTATATAAGTGGGGTATTTGATGGAATCGACAACCTCTAAAGCTCCTTTACCTTATAAAGCTGATCAATCAAAGATAATAATCACTTTTCTTTTCCCAGAAATATCCTCCAATTACCTGATAGATCACCATCATGATCGTCCTGTATTTTGAATCGTGTTATTTGTGTAAATTTTCGTCGCCTAACGAAAAAAAAAGGATACAAGGCCAATTAAAACATGCTTTTGATTTAAACAGAGAATGATATTGATTGACAGGCTCCACAATTACATCTTTTGTTCAAGTCCACAATTTCCATTATCATGCTTTTGGAAAAGGAGTTCTTGACAGACCTGCACTATTATTGATCTGTGCAATAATTGAAAAACATGAAATAAATACATCATGTGGCATTCATTCCAAACAAATTGCAGAGACTAAAAACACAGAAACAATAAGCAAAGCAAAAAAAATAAAAATGGCACCTCATATTTGGCTCGTTTTTCTCATGATATGCAGCACCCAATCGCGAAAAACAGAAGCGGCAATAGCACCTTGTGATAATTGCCAAAGGAAATGTGGCAAACTGGAAATTCCTTATCCATTTGGCACGGACAAGGGATGCTACATCGACGAAGCATTTAAAGTCACGTGCAACAAGACAACTGGTTCGCTAATTTGGTCCAACGGTACGGTCGACATCTCTATCTCAACTCATAGCCTGCAATATAAAAAATCTATGGTTGTAGCTTTGAAATTTGACAAGTCGGGAGAAACACAGTACGGCCATACTTTGATGATTGGTGATCTCCACAATAATTTCTATATATCTCACACCAGAAATAAGTTCGTTGCAATGGGGTGTGATTTCTATGCATACATAATTGATAGACAAACTAAAAACTTTGTGGGAGGGTGTGCACCTTTTTGCAACCGCACTGACATACTCCCTTCGCCTTCTTCATCTTGTTCGGGCCTGCAGTGCTGCCAAATCAATTTACCAAAAGATCCAACAGATTTATATTTATGGTTCGAGACAATGAATACCATGACAAAATCATGGGCATATCATTGTGGGTTTTTCGCAATCGTGGACAAGGATTTTGCACTCAACAAGAGTATGTTCTCTGATTGTAATCAAAGGTACCACGTCCCACTAATGTATGAATGGGCAGTTGGGAATACAAGCTGCAGTAAAGCAACGGGAAGAGTAGACTATGCATGTGGACAGAACACAGAGTGCATTGACTATAAACCAGGCATGTCATACAGATGCAAATGCAGCAAAGGTTACCGAGGTAACCCTTATCTTCTACAAGGATGCCAAGGTGATGATTTTTTTTATTTTTTATTTTTTATTTTTTTTCGGTCATAAGACTGGAAAAGATTCCAAGATTAGAACTAATCAATGTAACCATACATGTTCATTTGAATTTTTCAGACATTGATGAGTGTGGAGAAGCAAAGTATAAGAACACATGCCCAAAGAACGACCTTTGTGTTAATACTGCAGGCGGTTACTACTGCTCGCCTTATCATCGTAGAAACAGGTTTCCAGTGCTCATTGCCTTAGGTAAGTACTTCCACACACTTGCTCTATTTTGTTCGTCTTTCACACACATTCTCAAATCGCTGTTGACTTTAGTTATTATATGCACAAACAGGAATTGGCCTAGCTGTAGGTATTCTCGTTCTAGTGGCTATTAGTCTTTGGATTTGGCGAAAGATTCAAAAGATAAATGATAGGACAACCAAGCAGAGATGTTTCAAGAGAAATGGGGGTTTGCTACTCCAACAGCAGATATCTTCTTCAAATTCAACTAAGGGAGGTGTATTACCTGAATTGAAACTTTTCAGAATCGAGGAATTGGAGAAGGCCACAGATAAATTCAGCGAAATCCGTATTCTTGGCAAAGGAGGGCTCGGTACTGTCTACAAAGGAATGCTATCAGATGGTAAAATAGTAGCAGTAAAGAAGGCAAACATATCCGACGACAGTCAAGTAAGCCAATTTATAAACGAGGTTTTTATCTTGTCACAAATAAACCACAGGCACATAGTCAAATTGTTGGGCTGTTGTCTAGAGACTCAAGTTCCACTGCTCGTATATGAGTATATCTCAAACGGTACACTCTCTCAACATATTCACGATGAGCAAAACACCTCCACAGTTTCTTGGGAGAATCGCCTACGTATTGCTGCAGAAGTTGCAGGGGCACTCGCGTACTTGCACTCGTACGCTTCGACAGCCATTTACCACAGAGATATTAAATCGAGCAACATATTGTTGGATGAGAATTACAAGGCTGTAATATCTGACTTTGGCCTCTCAAGGTCAGTATCTATCGACAGGACTCATCTAACAACATTGGTCGGAGGCACATTTGGTTATTTGGATCCTGAGTACTTCCGGTGTGGACAACTAAATGACAAGAGTGACGTTTATGCATTTGGGGTTGTTCTTGCTGAAATACTTACAGGACAAAAGGCAATCTCTTCTACCAAAGATGACGTGGGGCTGGCACTCCGTTTTCGATCAGCAGTGAAGAAGAATTGTTTGTCTGAAATATTGGAGCAAGTAGTCGCAGATGAAGGTGATGAAGAGGAAATTCTTGCAGTGGCAAAACTGGCTAAGAGATGCATGAAAGTAAATGCACGTAAAAGACCGAGCATGAAAGAAGTGGCAGCAGAAATCGACCAACTGAGAAAGGCTAAAGAGCTTCCAGGGCATCAAGACAGCTTTCGTGATGATTCTCGTTCCATAAGTGAATCTTGCCAAAGTTCCGAGAATGATTCTGAAGCAGAGGATGATCAAACAATGTCCAAGACAAACTAAGCTTTACTTCTCATGTGAAAACAATTTGGAGGGATTTCACAAAAAAAAAAAAAAGTTGCAATTAATTAGGCAACGATTATCAGAAGTATGTGTTAGAAGTTGATGTGCTATACAAAATGTTGTCTTGTATTTCTTTACCTAATTTCTGAAGTAAAAGTTGAAAATGTATCATCACACAATAGGGAAAGTACTAGACTCGTATAAAAAATGTAGCAAACCAACCGTTAGAAAATGGAAGTAGAAGCGCTTTTACCATATGCCTTCAGCTGATGATCTCCATATCGTTGTTCATCCATTTCCCCAGTGCCAAATCGAAGCCGCTACAAACTCCGGCACCGCCGTGCCCACCACCATTAGAGATCTGTATCGACCCACGATTCCAGCATGGCAAAGAAAAATTATAAAAACAAAAAAACAACACAAATTTAATTAACATACTTCTGCAAAACACATATGCAATGATTTCGAAATGCAATACTAAAATTGATACACAATAACACAAACCCAGCGGTGTGGCTTCAGCTGCACGAACGCCGCCATGGTTGAGGAATGGTAGCGGGAAACCATTTTATCCATTTTTTTAAATTAAGGTTAGAACATCATCGAATGGTTGAGGAGTGTCTTCAATTTTCTGTGATGATCCACGGGGCTTCGGTGGGGGCAACGGCGACGGCGACGGAGGCGAATTGAAGGGATGAAACGACAGCGTTCTGAAGTGAAGTAGAGGAGTTGTTGGGCCAGATGGAGAAATAAGTATTGGGGTCAATACTTTATTTGGGCTGGGTATTTCTGAATTAATACTAATTCCAGCTCAGTCAGAATTACATCTGAAAACCATTGAATTGCATATTTTGAGATCTATTTTTTTTTTTTTATATAGCAAACTTAATAATGAATGCCACAAAAAGAAAAAAAATAATTATTTATGAAATATTATTATAATATAAAATTACAGTAGCGATTTCTCGAAATGTATATATTTTTTCATACTTCACTGATTGTAACATCTACAAAACCGACCGAAATGTAGTTCATTGGTCCCGAATTCTTGATTGAGATTCCGAACTTGTCTTGACAAGGAATTCTTTGAACCAAAGAGCAGATAGTTTTGGGTATCTTCTCAACAATTTATCTTTGTAGTCAACATAATTCAGCCCGAACCGAACCGAAAAGCCCGAAGACCACTCGAAATTATCCATCAACGACCACACAAAATATCCCTTCACATTTGCACTTTCTTTCCTGCCATGCATTTTCAGCCAATAATTCAAATCACATTTTAAATGTGTTTATAATGAAAAAAAAAAATTTTAGGCTCTCACTCAATTGCTTCATGCAGACAACACAGATGATCACGAATATAGTCTTTTCTCGTGTCATCTTTTAACGCCTCGAGTATTTCCGAATTGTCCTTTGCATCTTCGTCGATTCCTGTGGAATTATTTGTAATAAGGTTTAATTTGGAGAAAAATATGAAACAATTAATTTCCGAAAAAAAAAATAGAAATCTTGTTTTCTACCATTCTCAGTGATGTAAATCAGTGGATCATTGTATTTTTCCTTTATGTATCTCAGAATTCCCTTAATTCCCTTGGGGTAAATGTATATCCGGCTCGAGTTTCTTGCTTGTTCGCCTATCGCCTTCCCATTTCTCTCCCCTTTACAAGAATCATTATAACAACCTTAAAGATGAACCATGTTTTCCACATGCATTAATAACTAATTAACACGTGTTAAATGCATCTCACCTGTGATGTCAATCTGAGCATCAGTGGAGTAGCTGAAATTAGAAGCGCTTGGCTTGTTAAACGCATAAATTGCACCGTAATAATTGAATCCAATGAAATCGAACGACCCTTTCATCATTTTCATTTCCTCTTTGGTGAATTTAGGCAGTCGATTTCTAACTCGAACCCTCATATTTTCCGGATAATTACCTAGTGTTAGTGGTTCCAAGAACCTGATAAATAATATGTACAATTTAAAAATCATTCTTTATACACTTATAAGCATAAAAAAATAAAAATAAAATAACACTGACCAGCCTAGCATGAAATCAAGTGCTCGATTCTTCGCCTTCAAATTCTCATCCGTTTCATCCAACGGCTCAAACCAATACGAAGCAACCGCTATCCCAATCGTCCCATTTTGCAATGCCTGCATTACCTTTTATCTCAATGTGTTTCCATACATACATTGTAGAATTTTATGGAGTTTTAATTAATTATTTTACCTGATATTTATTTCTGTACAAATTTACAACAGCAGAGTGAGCAAGAAGTTGGTTGTGAGCCACAATGTACGGCTCTACAGCTGAGTCACCACCCGTGCAATCGAGGCCTTGCCAGCTGGCACATCGACCCGGAGCAAACAAACCGAATGCATAACCGTAGACACTAAAAGTCCACGGTTCGTTTATAGTGATCCAATATTTGACCCGGTCACCAAATTGGTCAAACAGGAGGTTTGCAAAGTCCACGAAGTCAACCCTGATAAAATATGTTTTTTCAAACATAAATAGAAAATAATTGGACTAAAACGAATATGCCAATTTTATATTGGCTTACAGAATTTGGGGACTTAGAAATCCACCATATGCATCTTGTAAAGCTTGTGGAATATCAAAGTGGAGAATAGTTACAAAAGGCTCTATACCTGCAAAGAAAACGATCGAATAAAATATATCGAATTAATTGATGTGCTAATCAAAATGTGAGGATAGTGAATTCATGAACCGTTAGCTAAGAGCTCGTTGATGAGATTGTTGTAATAATTAATCCCCTCCTGATTCACGCCTTGGTCGATTTTTCCACCTGAATTACATAAGAATGAGAATTTAATCAAGAAAATGGAAAAAGTATATTTACAAATTTAACTGAACATATATATTGTCTGAATGTTGGCAAAGATAAACATTATAATTAACCTGGTAATATCCTAGGCCATGATATCGAAATTCTGTAGGCATCGAGGCCTAAATCTCGTGCGATCTTCACATCTTCCTACACGAAAAAAGAATTAGAAGTTCTGAATAACTAAGAAAATTGTGAATGAAGAGACAGTTATATATTACCTTGTACCGATGATATGAATCAATTGCTATGTCTCCATTTCTGTGGTCCTTAATCTTATCTGTTGTAGTAATAGTAACATAAGAAAAACAAAATCGAAAAGAAAAAAAACGGTGATCATATTCCAGGGTGTAATACTGGAAAAAAAACCTGGATACATGTGTGTGAAATTATCCCACATGCTCATGCCTTTCCCACTTTCATTGAATGCACCTTCATACTGAAAAAAAATAAAGACGAAGGCAAAAGCGTGGTAGGATTAGGAAAGGATTAATTAAGTAGTTATGATTAAGCAAGTACCTGATAAGCTGATGATGCTGCCCCGAAGATGAAATCTCCGGGAAATTCTCCACGGTTGAAGAATATGCCGTTGCAGTGACACCTGGATTCCGATGTGGGACCCGCGTAAGTGTGTTGATGATGAGTGATAAGTAAAAGGAGAGAGATCACAAAGTAAGTTTGAGTAAATGCCATTGCTAATCACTTGCCCTGTTATTCTTCTTGAATCCCAGCTATGTTTTATAGTTGTAGACATTCTTGAAGCAGAAGGTTCAGTGAAAAAACAATGTGATTTTTGGTCAATGATTTGACATGATTAAGTTGTGATCTTGCTTTGGATCCGATGCCAAATCATTGGTTTTGCTTTTTTCTTTATTTATATGATTGAGTGGTTGAAAGTGGAAGACAAAATAGTGGGATTTTGATGCTCAAAATAGAGTTTTAGAGGTATATATGCAAGTAGACCAAATCCAGATCAAATCATTCATATCTGGAAAGACAAGAACAAACACTACCTACTAAAACTATTAAAAATGGGCCCTTTCATTTAATACAAAACCACATCAAAAATCAAATCTTTAACTCCATTTTATTTATTTACTACTATATATAAAAGGGTAAAATAAAGGTTAAACCTGGAATTGAAGATTTGAAACTTGAGGTACAAGTTATCAGCTGCACAGGCATGGTTCCGTTTCCGTCCGTACTCCGTTTGATTTCCCGGAAAGTGCCTGCCGGATATTCTAATTGCATTTCTCGGAAAGCTAATTTTTTGGGTGGTTTCTGTTCTCCGACCAGTACTGTGAGCGTCTCAGATGAATCCGTCCATTGCCCGTCGAGTTTGCCATAACAAAATCTCGCCTTGGCTGATGATACCACCAGCTCTTAAAGGTGGCGGCATGGTCTATAAGTTCTACAGCCTCGCTGAGGACAAAGTATTGAGCCTCGGATCCGACGCCGCCACCGGAGGTCGGAGAAGACTGCCGCGCAATGATGACGTATGGGCCGGAACAAAGACTGGCCTTCTGCTGCCCCGGCCGCCGCAGCACCACCCAGTGGATCCCCATCGGCGCTCCGTCTTCAAATCTCCACAACAGGGATTACCAGTCCTTCGTTTACTCTGCCGCACTCGGCGAGCTGGAGGCTTGGGATCTGCGGGACCGATTTTCCCCAACCCTGATTCCGATGGGAGACCTGTCCGACGGCGTGTATTATTACATCATGGCACGGTCGGAAGAAGAGTTGAATCTCAAACAGTCGTCTCACATTGTGAAATTCTTGGTGGTCAACCAATAATCCAGCGAGCTATTTCTCGTGAAAAGATACTGCATCGAACGAATGAACGCTGAAGGATCTTACGCTGAAGAAATATATTACGATTCAGACAGGGGATACGATGATGATAAATATCCTTACAAGACTGTAGGTTTCGATGTTTATAGATATGATTCTGAAAACATCGTGTTTTGCATGGATGGGGTTCACCGGATGGGCTAGCTCTTTTCATCGGAAGGAACCACGGGTTTGCTATTTCTGCTGACGAATTTCCGGAACTGAAACGGGATTCGATTTACTTTAATGACGTTCTTGGTGTGAAAGCAGCTTGGATCGAATGCCCCTACGGTGGGCACGATAATGGCATTTTTAGCTACGGAGATGGTGAGATTTCGCCCTGCTATTATCCGTGTGATTACGGAAGCATAAAGAGGATTTTACCGGAGCCAATGTTGTTCACTCCAAGCCCGCTCTAGTTGAGTTTAATTTTGTCGTTTATTAGGAGCTGATTTTTTTAACAATGTTAAAACAACTTCAAGAATCTTCGGACCATTTCAAACAGTGCCATAATAGGCAAGGCAAATGTCTAAAACAGACAAGATTGCAGCTTTTGTAGAACCAATTCTTGATTCAAATCCAAGAAAGTCTTCACTTCATTTGACCTGTATTCTTGCGTTGAATCCCACTTCCCCAATGCTCCATCTTTTTCTATATAATAGTACAATAAATAAACATCTCAAATCAATCACACTAAGGAAGAAAGAAGTTCCTTTCTGTTATACAATGAAGATCACAGAAACTAAGCAGAACAGATTGAGGCATTACATTGGAGCACCGAAAAAATTCTTGCGAAAAGCCAGAGACTTATACGTGGACACTATGCTTAATGTCGAAGGTAATTTTGCTAGTGCTAACATTTTGGTCTGCCCTGTAACAAACATACGCAATTTGCCAAAGGGATATAGTAGCCAAAATTCGAAGAAAATGGCCGATAATAATTATCTCGAAGAACTCTACCAATCAATCTGCAGGAAATATAACTGGAGGAATATCAAGAAATTTGACAGTACAGTAAGAGGGAGAGAGATAAGTGGATATGGTGTAATGGACAGAAGTTACAGTATTGCCCTAGGCAAGATTGGAACTATCGACGAAGAAGAACCTTGCGACTTTCAAGAAAATGTCGCCAACAAAAGTGACATCTTGTTTCCTAGAAGTAGAAGCCATGCTTTTGCAAGAAACAATGCCTTGTACTAGTCATTTCAGACAACCTTAAATTCGGCTTATTCGTTATTATTATTCTTAAAACTGTACAATGTCAATTACCCTACAAATGTCTGCGATAATCATTAGTGGAACATGACAACACCACACGAAATGTCGTCTTTGCCCTCCCTCAAAAGTGCCTCTTTAATCAACTCCTCTGCAGCCTCTTGACCATCGCGTGATTCTCGAATACAGTCCACAGCTTCTTGGTTAGACATAACCTGCAGATATATATTTAAACAAAATTAATTCGATGTATATAAGTTGACGAACAAATGAAATCAATAATTCGACATAACCTGCAGGTGTATATTTAAACAAAATTAATTCCATGTATATGAGTTGACTAACAAATGAAATCAATAATATGTCAACCTTCCAAAGGCCATCACTTGCTAATATAACAAACTCTGTATCTTCATCAATTTTCTTGATTGCAATATACGGTTCCGCTGTAATGTGGTCCTTTAGCCTCTCGTCTCCAAACGCCCTCGTCATTGCCAGCTGTCCATCGACACGTGGAACATTTCCTGTGCGCACATACACCATATAAATCCTCAAAAAAAAAAAAAAAAAAGAATTCTGATCAATTTAGTTTTCGAAAATCAAATTATAACCTCGTTTCTTCGAAACAAAGCCTCCTTTGCTCTCGACAAGTTTCTTTTCCTTCATAGGCTCATGGTCCACAGTAATTTGTTTTGCAGTGCCGCTCTTACAAATTACGCCACGCGAGTCTCCAACATTAGCTACAATGAGGTCCACCTTATCGATCAATATCGCTGTGACAGCTGTCGAACCACCCCTTGAACCAACTACATTTTCGAGTATATCTTTATTTGTAGCTTCGTAAGCCTTTCTAACAGCGGCTTTAGGGCTTGTCCAAAAATCGGGCTGTGTATCAAATATTGACTGTAATTAGTCTAGCTGTAAAAATCTTGATTATATATTATTCAACTAAACCGAATTTGTTAATATACCTCGTTGAGTATGTTTTCGAAGAGGTGGTTTTGTAAGTATTCAGCAACTTCACGACCAGAGTGCCCGTCGAAAATGGCGTACAGCCCTAGTTTATGACCATTAATCGTCTTATGTTTGGCAACCAAGTAATCTTCCATTCCGTGTCTCATTTTTCCTTCGACTAAATGACAGCCACAAGAGATGCTTCGTTTCCTATCATCTTTGTTTTTCGTATAGTCGTCTCTATCCACATCATCCTTCTCTGTCTCATCAACATCATCGGAATCGGCATCGCCATCGGAATCTTTGTCGAGACCTTGTTCCTTCAGGAAATACAAAAAAAAAACAGACAAAAAACTTACGTCACTAGTTTTTTTCATTAAATATCTAATCAAAAGATAGCAAAAAGATTACAGACCTTGAGAAGTGCTGAGAAGATATCATCTGGAGTTTCATTCCTCTGAATGAAAAAAATAAAAAAAAAATGAGCATGGTTAGATAGCTATTTCATAAATCATAACACAATATTAACCTTTATTTTAATGATTTCTGCATCAGTATTTGAATTTGATCTTCCCCTCTGCAAGTTTAAAAATATCGGGAAGTCACTGTACATACAATTTGAGATAGTTGTCTGGTTTTTAACGGAAAAAGAAAATACAATTACCGCCAGATAATATTTAACATACCTTAACCTTCACAAAATTCGAATCCTCCATGCCGACAAATCAGAGTTGTGAATATTTGTTGAGTCCGAAAATGGAAACCCAAGGATCATTTATACCAGATGAGCTATTTTTAGGGTTTACTGTATCCTGGAGATTGGGGTTTTTAACATACACGTGGTGTGGGCTGGTGAATCGGCGGAGGAGAGTCATGCTTTGGTGTCTTCCGCCGCTCACCGCCCACCGCCCACCGCCGTCGACCTTTCTCCAATTTTGCAGCATGCCAAAAGCTACTCAACAGTAAAATCTCCATTTACTAATTGCATTAATTTTTTTAACTACGTGTTATTACAAAATGAATAATAATTGATTTCTATTTTTTATTCATTAAAAAAAATGATATATATTCATTTTTTTTGAAAATGTAACTTAATGGTGTAATAGTAGTGGACATAAATAAATATAATTAGCTAGCAAGTACAAAAATTACAGTAATTAATCAATTGCGAAATCAGTAATCAAAATATAATTCAATCATACGGAATTAAACAATTGCAAGGAATACAACCAATTCATGTCACACATTTCAGAAAAAAAATATAATATGATATAATATAATCTAGAACTTGGATTGAATCCAGTCAATGGTCTTAGTGTCTGTCTGAAAAGACTTTGCAAGAAGATCATTAGCAATAGCTGGCTTCGACCCGAAAACCGCATTTGCAACGGTAATAACACCTGGATTTTGGCTGCTCAGAGCTGCAATAACGACTGCATTTCCAGTACCAACGTTCCTCTGGTAATGTACAAGATTCACAGGAAAAACAAACACATCTCCCTTTTGAAGCACTTTCGTGATAAGTCGATTTTCAGGGTTTGATGTGACGAATCCCACTTCGAGTGTGCCTTCGATCACCGTCAAAATCTCGGTCGCACGTGGGTGAGTGTGCGGAGGATTAACCCCCCACGGAGCAAAATCTGCACGTGCTAGTGAGATTCCGAGTGTGTTGAGGCCTGGAATCTGGGCTACGTTTACTGGAGTTACTTTTGAGCCGACAGGGTTTGAAGTGTTGCCGGGTAAGTGGAGCCCACTGAAGAAGAAATCGGTTGCTTGTGCTAGCTTGGCATCCTTGCATGCAAATCCATTCACAAGAACTGTGCCATGCGTATACATACAAAAGATATAAGAACATAAAAATAATGGAACTTCATATATAATTATTCTATTCGATCATGTATATATATAGATGTATGTATATATACCAGGGCCACTATGATCAGCAACACAGAAATCTTGAAGTGGGCTTGGATCAGATGCCAATACAATTGAACAAGTTGCAATGAGGAATACAAGCATAATAAGATTGGATGCCATGTTTTCTTTTTCTTTTTCTTTTTTTTTGGTTTCACAGTTGATTATATATATTGTCTGAAGTTAATGGTGTCTTGTGATTTTTGGGAAACAAAGGTGTGGTTTTTATAGGGTTTTGAGAATGATATCTACGCATCTTCGATCGATGTTATCTCATTAGAATTTAGAAAAGAAGTATTAGTATATTGACGCATTGTATAATATGATTAAAGACGGCAAAGAACCGGTCATGCATTTGTACGTAGCTCCTGCAATTTTAATTTATTATTGAACTTACATTTTGTCTGTCTGCTTCGTATTATTATAGCGATTTCGACAGGCCCTATAGTCACTTCTTGAATATGATTTAATTAATCTCGTTAATACATATGAAGTCCCTTGTTCGTCATTACCATTTCCACACGCTTTTTTGTTTTTTTTTCTTTCTTAATGAAGAATTAATTAGAAGTTAGAACACAGTCGTTGTCTGCATTATGCTGTCCCAAAGACGGCAAAAAACCGGCAATCATATCATCAGCTATCTCTATAAAAACCAGCTTCTCAATGAGATTATTTCCCATCTCGAATCTCGATCACAATTAATCTTGTTTTCCTACACTCACAAGCTAAGTAAATCATTACAGAACAGAGGAAAAAAACATGACATCGTATTTAGTCTTGGTGTGCGTGTTGGTTGCAATTAGTTCAAATGCTTTAGCATCTGATCCAAGCCCTCTTCAAGATTTCTGTGTTGCTGATCCCACAGGCCCTGGTATGAAATTCATATACTTAATAATAATAATAATAATCATAATCTCATTTTTTAACAGAATTAATTAATGTTTTATACCTCTGTTTATATTTCAGTGATGGTTAATGGATTTGCATGCAAGGATGCCAAGCTGGCACAAGCAACCGATTTCTTCTTCAGTGGGCTCCACTTACCAGGCAACACTTCGAACCCCGTCGGCTCAAAAGTGACTCCAGTAAACGTAGCCCAAATTCCAGGCCTCAACACCCTCGGAATCTCACTAGCACGTGTAGATTATGCTCCGTGGGGGGTTAATCCTCCGCACACTCACCCACGTGCAACCGAAATTTTGACAGTGATCGAAGGCACACTCGAAGTGGGATTCGTCACATCAAACCCTGAAAATCGGCTTATCACGAAAGTGCTTCAAAAGGGAGATGTGTTCGTTTTCCCTGTAAATCTTGTGCATTACCAGAAGAATGTTGGTACTGGAAATGCAGTTGCTATTGCAGCTCTAAGCAGCCAAAACCCAGGTGTTATTACCGTTGCTAATGCGGTTTTCGGGTCGAAACCTGCTATTGCTAATGACCTTCTTGCAAAGTCCTTTCAGACAGATACTAAGACCATTGATTTGATTCAATCCAAGTTCTAAATTACACTTTATTCTCTCATCATTAAAGATCTGTCTGAATTTTGTTTGTTTTTTGAAATGTGTGACATGAATTAATAGCATTGATTTAGTTGAATTCTTTGTAATTGTTGTTATTGTTGTTGTTTAATGTCAGATGAATAAAAGTATGGTTTTGATCAGTTATTTTTTCATCCTGTAATATTTGACTTGTTAATCAACTTTTGAGTGTTTTTTCCCTCAACATGTTAAGTACTTTAATGTGAAATCATTTTTATTTATTTATATTTATTCAGGCAATTTATAACTAACATATGATAAATCAGGTTCAAGAACCAGTACATGTACTGTACACCAAAAAAGAAACATCCATGATTCACACAGAACAGATCAAGAAACACATGATATTGTTAGTTACAAGTTACAACCAATTACAAACACAATGAACCATATATATATATATATATAAATCACTCAAAAATACATCAATCACCACTAAAAAAGACAATCGAAAACCGACCATGCATATCAAGATTCAGACACAATCACTCACGTGTGAGAAACATACGAAAAAAAATCATTCATATTACTCTCCAAGCTAAGCAGCTTCCTCGTCCTCCTCCTCCTCGTACTCTTCCTCCGCCGCCGTAGCATCCTGGTACTGCTGATACTCCGCCACCAAATCGTTCATATTACTCTCCGCCTCAGTGAACTCCATTTCGTCCATTCCTTCGCCTGTATACCAATGCAAGAAAGCCTTCCGCCTGAACATGGCGGTGAACTGCTCGCTCACACGCCTGAACATTTCCTGTATCGAAGTCGAGTTTCCGATAAAAGTTGAAGCCATTTTCAGACCCTTTGGCGGAATATCACAGACGCTCGATTTAACATTGTTTGGAATCCACTCGACAAAGTAAGACGAGTTCTTGTTCTGGACATTGATCATTTGTTCATCGACTTCTTTAGTGCTCATTTTGCCTCGGAACATTGCGGAAGCGGTTAGGTATCTGCCGTGGCGAGGGTCCGCTGCACACATCATGTTCTTTGCGTCCCACATTTGCTGAGTCAGCTCGGGGACTGTGAGGGAACGGTACTGTTGGGACCCGCGGGCGGTTAGTGGGGCGAAACCGACCATGAAGAAATGGAGACGTGGGAATGGGATTAGATTGACTGCGAGTTTTCTTAGGTCGGAGTTGAGTTGACCGGGGAAACGGAGACAGCATGTGACACCGCTCATTGTGGCGGAAATTAGGTGGTTTAGATCGCCAACTGAAATAAAACAGAAAATTTTAATTTTCATTACGTCGTTGATATAAATCCAAATTTTGATAATCTAGACTAGGATTGTAAAATCGGACGGATCAGATGGGAATTAGCATTTTCGGAATTTCTGTTTTTTGGAATTTTCAAACATATTTCCGAAACTAAAAACGGATCATAAATCGGAATTTAATATAATTCCAATTCCATTACAAAAAGATATCGAAAAAATCGAAAATTGCAACTTTCGGAATTTGGAATGAAAAATTTGTTCCAAAATCTAAAAATACTCGGGAAATTTCCGTTCCAATTAACACTCATAATACAGACAAAGGGAAATAAATATATACTTACAGGTGGGAGTGGCGAGCTTGAGAGTGCGGAAGCAAATATCGTACAAAGCCTCGTTATCAAGAACCATACACTCGTCTGCATTCTCAACTAGTTGATGAACAGACAAGGTGGCATTGTAGGGCTCAACAACAGTGTCTGATACCTTTGGAGAAGGAAACACTGAAAAAGTCAACATCATTCTGTCTGGATATTCCTCTCTTATCTTCGATATCAGAAGGGTCCCCATACCGGAACCAGTACCTCCACCCAGAGAATGACAGACTTGAAATCCTGTTAGATATAAATTGATGTAAGAATTATTACATGTAGACAGTGAATGTTTAGAAAACTCAACAAAAGTTGCAATTTACGAACACAAAAGCAATCGTTGCATTAATCGACCACGGATAATTAGCTGCGAAACAGAGTATAAGCGGATCCGGACAATGAAAACAAAAGATCCAAATATGTAACTTACAAAATCAAGTACCTAATAAACGCAATCATCATCAGAAAAATTAACAACAGAAACTCATAAAATTGCATAAACAAAGATTATCCCTATAAATAAATGAAACAAATTATATCAAAATCTAGAATATGGCTACATAAAAATTGAGTCTTTACTATCATCCGAATACAGATCTAGCGAATAAATCCAGCAAAAAAAGAAGGAAATTAAACCTTGCAAGCAGTCACAATTTTCGGCCTCCTTACGAACAACATCAAGCACGGAATCAATCAATTCGGCTCCCTCGGTGTAGTGCCCCTTGGCCCAATTATTTCCGGCGCCAGACTGTCCGAAAACAAAGTTGTCTGGTCGGAAGATCTGTCCGAAGGGGCCGGATCTGAGGGAGTCCATGGTACCGGGCTCGAGGTCCATGAGGACGGCGCGTGGGACGTACCTCCCACCGCTGGCTTCATTATAATAAACGTTGATGCGCTCGAGCTGGAGCTCGGAATCGCCGTTGTACCTTCCGGTGTGGTCGATGCCGTGCTCGTCGCAGATCACTTCCCAGAATTTGGCGCCGATCTGGTTGCCGCATTGGCCGCCTTGAATATGCAGAATTTCTCTCATTTTTTATTGTTGTTCCGGAGAAATCAGAAATGAATGGATCTTTCTTGGGATTGTGAATTTTGGGAATGGTGTCGCTGTCTGTTTTTTCTTCCTTTTGTCGTGTGGGGGAGCGGACGAGAGGCAATAAAGGGGGATTGGCGGATTATGGCGGGTGGGGCATATTCCCATTTCCCGGTTTATATACGGATGGTTGGAGTCTTACATTTTCAGGCTCCAATTTGACTGAATTCTCGGAAATGCCATTGGTTTATCCTGGGAATTTGCAGAGAGTTTTTGGGCCATTATTAAATTCGGCCTAACCATATTATATTCTCTTAAGCCTACATACATATGACCACAAGCCCAAATTAGAAAAAGATTCCCTTTATGAAAAATCAAAATTAAAGACAATAATCAACATCTAAATACAAATTGGCATGTATTATTATTAATTCCATTAAAAAAAATCAGTAACACAATACAAAATTTGTAGATTATATTTCAGTTAATATTTAATAGTGGGGTGCTTGCAGCTGATGAATAATGGAGTTGTCAACCCGGAAGGACTTGGCTAAAACGTCGTCGTTTATCGGGGGATTGGACCCGAAAACAGCGTTAGCAATGACAATAACACCAGGATTTTGGCTGTTGAGAAACGCCATAGTAACGGCGTTTCCCGGGCCAACGTTCTGCTGAAAATGGACTAGCCCCAATGGAAAAACAAACACATCGCCCTTGCCAAGTACTTTCGAGATGAGCCTGTTATCCGGGTCCGACGTCACGAATCCGACATACACGGCGCCGTCCAAAACCGTCAGTATCTCGGCGGCGCGCGGGTGGCGTAGTCTACTCGCACGGTGGAGATGCCGAGTGTGTTGAGGCCCGGAATCTCGTTCACGGTGGGCCTGTTTATGAAGCAGCCCAATGGGTTTGATGTGTTTCCGGGTACGTTGAGCCCCTTGAAGGAGAAATGATCTGCTGTTACGCGCTTCGGCTCTAGGCAGGCAAACCCATTCACTCTTACTGCATTTAGTAGTAAAATTAACTCGATTTTTTTTTATTTTTTTTTTTTGAAAAAATGGAAGTAATTAGAGTAGCGATATATGCATACTAATTACCTGTACTGGTGAAGTCTGCAACACAAAAATCTTGAAGAGGGTCAGGTTCATTGGCCAGAACAAGATTAGTCCAGCAAGTTATTAAAGCCACAAAACTAATTAGGATTAATATAATTAAATTAATTCCCATTTTTTGAAGAAATTAATGAAATATGAACTAATTAATGAGATATATATATATATAGTTGCCTTGACAGCTAGACTGATTAAGGGTTGTTAGTGTGGTTTTGTGGGTTGAAAGCAAGTTTGTATGTATGCTTCATTCAGCCTTCACACAGTTCAGACATATATATATAAATTAAATGAGTGATTTTTCCAATTATTAATTAATTTTCTAGTCAATTAAATATAATTTATGGGATGAGATGAAGATGATCACGATGGCTATGTTTCACAAGACAACAACTGGCAAAAAGTTTAATTAAGGCATAAAATTAAATATATGGTGTGTTGGCAACTTGGCATATTGGTAATGGTGGTGAGTTTGGACAAAAACAAGATGATAAAAAAATTAAAAAATTGGAATTGTAATTAATCCAACCAACAATATAATGGCCAATGTGATTAAGATATATATAATTGATTCATGCATGCATGGATGGATCGTCTGTCCAAATATTCTTCACCTTTTCATCGTATATTCTTTTTTGTCACTACATTGACATTTTTTAATGTAATTGTTTGAACAAAAAACTCGGAATTTTCAAAATTATTTTCGGAAATTTAAAATGGCATCGAAAATCAATATACTAGTATGTCTTTTATAATTTCATTTCGGCTTTTGAGATCCTACACCGGGTGAAATACACCGGGTAGATCTTTACCATTCATATACACACAAACACACACACACCCACATTGGTATATGTACATCAACGGTAAAAAATCACCCGGTGTAACTTTCACCGGGTGTAGGATAGATACACCCATTTCGGTCCAAAAGAACCCGAAAAAATCGAAATTGGAATTTTGAATAAAATATATTAGTGTGGGCTTTTGGACTGTGGTCCAGCATTGTATGTTATTGGGTTCTTCTCTTGTTACTGGACTCTGTACGGTTCCAATTAAAAATAGTTTTTTTTTTTTTTTAAATCCATAAACGTGCATTATTAGCTCTTAATTAACAATTAACAAATGACCCTTGTTTCCTTTTCTGGATGGAATTTCATTTCAGTTTCTAAAAATGGCAAGACAACGTACGAGAGATCGAAAATCTGTAAGAAGTTACTCATGTTAGGCTGCCCCTGCTTCTCGCGAGTTTCCCCCTTCAGTTTTTTTCACCATATATTTTAACAGAGCAAGAAACTATTTCTTCATAAATTATCATATCTGCTTATTCATTTTTCATCCTAACAGAGCAAGAATCAAACAAGTGATTTGAGCAGTTCTAGCTCCGACCAGCATTGTCCTAAGGTTTCGATTTTCTTTCATCTTTTCATTTGTTCATATCACGTTCTTGATTTTTCATGTAAGATTAAAACAAAATTAATTTCTGGGTAGGTGCCAAGATGGTTCATCGGGAGTTTTCGGTGGATTTAAACAAACCACTCGTCTTCCAGGTTAAAAAAATCTAGGGTTTTTCTTTTTCTTGTTGTAGCATTCATATTTTCTGATTTAGCTAAATTAAAAATCCAATCTTTATGTTTGACAGGTGGGCCATCTTGGAGAAGATTACGAGGAATGGGTTCATCAGCCTATTGTTACCAAAGAAACCCCACGGTTTTTCTCAAATGGCCTAATTGAGGTACTTATTCGAATTCTTGAATATTTTCAAAAAAAAAAAAAAGTAAAAAAAAAAAAAAAATCCAATCTTTAAGTGTATTCAAATTCATTGAGCTAACTTTATCTAGCTTTTGTTCATTGTCTAACAGTTTTTGACTCGAACCCGTTGGTGGGCAATTCCTCTAATCTGGCTACCCGTTGTGTGCTGGCTCGTTTCGTTGTCTTTAGAAAACGGCGTTCCTGTTAATCATGCACCACTAACGGTGTTAGCCGGTGTCTGTTTATGGACTTTTATGGAGTACTGTTTGCATCGCTTCGTTTTCCACATCAGAACAACTAGCTATTGGTATTTTTCATGTTTAATTACATCCCTCATTCTATTTGTTAGCATGAGACAAGATTTGCTGATTTAATTTTTTTGATCGAAATTGAATTTTAACAGGGGAAACACACTTCATTACCTCGTTCATGGCTGCCATCACAAGCACCCTATGGATGGGCTTCGACTCGTTTTCCCTCCCGCTGCAACTGCAATTCTACTCGTACCTGTATGTTAAAAAAAAATTGAATATAATATTCATTAAACGAATTTCTTTGTATTCTTTTCTGAATTTTGTTTTTCGTTTTTTTTTGGGTGGATTAGTTTTGGAATTTGATCAAGATTGTGGTACCTGCACCTTATTCGCATGCTTTTCTTGGAGGTGGTTTGTTGGGGTACGTGATGTACGATTGCACGCATTACTATTTGCACCATGGCAAACCGTTGAAAGGTGTATCTTACCAACTCAAGGTGATTTTCTAGTCTGAGTAATTTATGTAATGTCTTGTGAATTTTCCGTTCGTGCTTTTTTTGGTGCTGAGTGATAATGGTGTATATATTGTAGAGATACCACATGAACCATCACTTCAGAATTCAGGACAAGGGATTTGGAATCACTACAACATTCTGGGACAGAGTTTTCGGAACACTTCCTCCAAAATCTGCCAAGAAAGACAGCTGATTAAGGATTGATCAACTTAATCAACTGCTGAGGATTAATTGATTTCAAGACAGAATAGCAGTTCTAGTTAGTTCATTCATGGTTTTTGTTCTGTTTCCGTTCTCGTATTTGCTTCTCTACTAGTATTTTAGACCGGGCCAACTTCGGTTAGACGCTGATAGGATATTCTGTTTTTCAACATTTTCTTTTTCGTTTTATGATTTTTGTAGAGGATCGCATTTTATGAGACATTGTTAAAGCTAAGAACGACCATTTGTTCATATTAAAAGAAATTATTTAGCCACATAACACTTACTCGTAAAACAAAATTGTGTATCAATCTTGATTCTTGAAATTATTCACTTATGCAGGGGATTAATCTAATGAAAAAACACGGGAATGCTCTCCTCGTTTATGATAATATTCCTCGGATCAACCCTCTTCTTCACTCGTGTCAATCTCTTGAAATATTTCCTTCCCCGAATCATAGCTTCCGAATAACTTGCATTTGATTTTGAATATTTAATTAAGGCTTCAATCAAGACCCCTATAATTTATATGTGCACCTCGTGGTGCATTCGAAAAATGTGGCTCCATATACTCATTAACGCTTTTTAATCCGTTCGAGATGTTTCTTCGATTCTTCTTCCCCACCTACACTCCATTTAACCAAGGACTGTATATTGAACAAAATTCCCTTTTCTATGTGGGAAAGGGATATCAAATTCTTGAATTTCTTTATGCATATTAATCGGCAGTTATTGTGTCAAACTCAATAGATAAACAATGGTAATTAAAAAAAAGAAAAAAAACAGAGTTCTCTGCTTCAAAAAGATTTCTTACTGTTATAATCGGCAGTTCGATTTTAGTTGAGACGTACGAGACAATCAAAATAGTAAAATCATTTATAAATTATATTATAAGCTACGAGGCACAAACTTATAGGTGATATAGTAACATATAAACTTGCTACATATATCAAATTTTACTTTTCACTCATCAAAGGAAGAATAGGAATACTCTGTTCATGCCTGAAAAAATTATCAGGATCAACTTTTGTCTTCACCCTGACAAGCCTGCTAAAGTTGTCCTTAAAATATTTTGAACCCCACAAACTCGCCTCGATAAAAGTCGAACCGTTTCTATTCATTCCCAAATCAAGATCCCTGTAATTCACATAAGCCTCTCTCGGAAACTTTGAGACATACGCTCGCATATAACTATACAGCCTCCTAATCCAGTCAACATGCTTCGCTTCCGATTCTTGTTTATCGTCATTCCAAAGTGTTAAATACTGTATCTTATATATAACTCCCTTTCTGTGTGGAAACGGAGTTTCCGATTCCGATATATTGCTCATCATTCCACCGTAAGGATTCCATATCATCAACGGGGAATCTTCTTCCATTAGCCTTTCAAAAAGCCCGTTTAAACCCTCCTCCGGAACGGGCTTTCTCACAAAATCCGACTTCGCTTTGAAGTAGTTCTTGAATAAAGATTTCCCTTGTAACAATACTTCGGGTGGAGTTTTCGAAGGAAAACCTGCTATATACAGTACCGACTCGATCCAGCTCATTTCAACGCAATCTTTTTTCGTCAACCCTAATTCCGGAAAACCCGTTTCCATTACACCGAGCAGTCTATCGGTTCCGCCTAGGAACAAAGCGTTGTAAGAAGTCTGCACTGTTTTCGAACCCTTTTCAGAACCTTCCACCACTTGCATAATGACTCTAATGAAGAGATCCTCGTCGAGTTTATCCGCAACTTCTTGCCATTTCTTGATAATCTCTGTCCCGTTTTCTTCTAGGGTTTTTGAGACAGTGAAAACCGTGACAATAGTTGGTACAGGAACTAACCTCACTTTCCATGCAAGTATAATACCAAAACTACCCCCACCACCACCTCTAATAGCCCAAAAAAGATCCTCTCCCATAGATTCTCTATCAAGAATCCTACCACTCGAATCCACTATTCTTGCATCGATCACATTATCAGCTCCGAGCCCGTATTTCCTCATCATAGGACCGTACGCCCCACCAGTCAAATGGCCTCCAATTCCCAAGCTAGGGCACAAGCCAGCTGGAAAACCATGAGTCTTGCTCTTCTGGGCAATTCGGTAATAAAGCTCGCCTACACTCGCTCCTGCCTGGGCCCACGCGGTGTTGTCCGGAATGTCAACGCTGACCTGGCGGAGTTTGGAGAGGTCGAGTACTACGAAGGGTTGTTCGTCTTCGGACATGTAGGATAGGCCCTCGTAGTCGTGGCCCCCACTTCGGATTCTGAGGTGTATATCAAGCTCTTTGCTGCAGGTAACTGCTGCTTGGACGTGGTTTTCGATTAACGGTGTGAAGATTAGCTGGGGTTTGGGGATGGAAGGTGTTAAGCAACGGAGGTTTTGGGCGGTGGATTGGAGGATGGTAGTGAATGAAGCGTTTTCGGGAGTGGAGAAAGCGGTTGAGAATGGGATTGCGAGCTCCGAGTTCACAATTATGCATTGGTAGAATTTTTCTTGGATTGTTTGTGAAGTTGCATAAGAAGAAGAAGAAGATAATACTATTGCAAGAATCACTATTTTCAAGATTGAGGATCCCATAATACCTACCTAGGATAATGTTTTTTTGTTGTCTTGTGTTTAAGGAGAGAGTGAGAAAGGCTATTTATGGGTTTAATTATGTCTTGGTTGAAAAACTAGCTTGCTAAATTAGCAAGCTTTACCATTTCTTGCCTTCTAATTAATGGTGAAATTGTTTCATGTTGCTTAAAGGCAATCTCTTACTTGGCCAAAATATTAGGGGAATTAAAAATATTATCTATTTATTAATTTCATCTTTATTGTGTTTCTATATGTATAACGTCAATTACATGCATTCGGGACGCAATTTATTTGTGATTAACATTTCAAGCCTAATTTCTTCTTAAAAAAAATAAGAAATTTAAAATAATAATAATAAAGCAAGCCTAATTCTTAATTAGAACAGGAATACTTTGTTCATTCCTGAAGAAATTGGTGGGGTCAACCTTGGTCTTCACCTGCACCAATCGGTCAAAATTACCCTTGAAATACTTCTCACCATAAACCCTAGCTTCACTGTACGCATTCGGGCCTACATTATCTGTACTCCCAATATCAATATCTCTATAATTCAAAAACGCTTCTCTTGGATTCTTGGAAACAAACGGCGTCATAAAATCGTAGAAATTCCTAATGCTTTGTATATTAGCCTTGTCCGAATCGGGCCCGGTTTCGTTCCAGTAGGTCAAATACTGAATCTTGTATATATTTCCGACCCGATGCGGAAACGCCGTTTCAGTGTCGGCTACCTCACTCATCATCCCTCCGTACGCATTCATCGCCATCCATATGTTTCCAGATGATATCAGTTTTTGGTATATTCTTCCCAAATCACCCCTCGAAATCGGGGTTTTCACGTAATCCGATTTCATTTTGAACGCGCTTGTAACCAAAGCTTTTCTGCTCAGCAAATCCGATTCTATTGCCGTGTCCGGAAATTCTCCCCAAAACAGGATTGATTTAATCCAGCTCATCTCCTTGCAATCCTCCTTCTTCAACCCTAGTTCTGGAAACTTCTTATTCATGATTGAGACCAGTTTGTCGGAATCTCCGAGGTACATTGCAATAAAAGATGTCCGTAGTGTAATTTTGCTGTTTCCAGTAGTATTAACTGTCTGTATATAAACCCTAATAAATAGCTCGTTTTCGAGTTGGGGTGCAATGTTTTGCCAACGGTAAACAAGATCCACCGCATTCTGTTCCAAAGTTCTCGGAACCCTAAAAACGGTGACAATTTCAGGCACCGGTACGAGGTTTATTTTGTAAGAAAGTACAACACCGAAGCTAGCGCCGCCGCCGCCTCTAATAGCCCAGAAAAGATCCTCCCCCATAGATGCTCTATCCAAGATGCTCCCATTAGCAACAACGATTCTTGCGTCCACCACGTGATCGACGGAAAGACCGTATTTTCTAATCATCGTGCCATAGCCGCCGCCGCTGATGTGGCCGCCTACACCCACGGTGGGGCAAACTCCGGATGGAAAACCGTGGACTTTACTATTTTCCCAAATTTTATGATAGAGCTCGCCCAGTGTGGACCCCGCTTGGACCCACGCGGTCTCGTCCTTCATGTTGACTTGGATGGACCGGAGGTTGAACATGTCTAGGATTGCGAACGGGGCTTTGCACATGTAGGACAGACCCTCGTAGTCGTGGCCCCCGCTTCGGATCTTGAGGTGTAGGTTGACATTCTTCGCGCAGTTGACTATTGCTTGGACTTGCGATTCTTGAAAAGGGGTTAGGATTAGGGTTGGCTTAGGGGTGTTTGTGGTGTTTATAAAACGGCCGTTTCGGATGTATTCTTGTAAGATGTTTGTGTAGTTGATGTTGCTTTGCATGTATGTTATTTTGGGCAAATCATCGTCTCCGATGTTGTTGCTTGACAGACATTTGAAGAAGTTGTCTTGTGAGGTTGCAATAGAAGAGAAGAACGAAGACAACAGAAGAAGCTGGAGAATTGTTAGAGAAAAAGAGATGATCCTCATTGTTGCTACTTTGTACAACTTATTCATGGAGGAATTAATGGTTTGTTTATATATATATATATATATATATATATATATATATATATATATATACTGGTCAAGATTATATAAAACTTGATTATTTTGGAAATATGGGAAAGTGAATATCTTATGTTAGATTATTTCATATTTAGAGTGTGGTCCTGGAATTTGTTGCCATGAATATGAAACTAGAATAAATTATTGAGAAAATATGTCATTTGAAAAATGGGAAGGTGAATATCTAATTACCTAGATTAATTCATATTCAGACTTGCCATTTGAAACTACAATATAAATCATTGTATTGCAATATTGTATTAACATGCAACTTGAGTTTGAAATAATTTACTTAATCACATCTTGGAGATGTGATTATTAGATGTTTAAGGATTTTTGTATACACTAAGGAATTACCGAGGACTTAATTATCATTAAGAAAATTAGTTTGGGTTCCTTAAAAGTTATAACCCTTAATTTTAAGGAATTTATTGGGACTTCTAGCTAATATTAATGCCTAAAATGAAAGCAAGAAAAAACTAATTCTTCAAAACAGGAATACTTTGTTCATTCCTGAAGAAGTTGGTTGGGTCAACTTTGGTCTTCACCTGCACCAATCGATCAAAATTGCCGTTGAAATACTTCTCACCATAAACCCTAGCTTCACCGTATGCATTCGGACCTACATTATCCGTACTCCCGATATCAATGTCTCGATAATTCAGAAACGCTTGTCTCGGATTCTTCGACACAAACGGAGTCATAAAATCATGGAACTTCCTGACAATGTCTATGTTAGCCTTGTCCGAAGCGGGCCCCGTTTCGTTCCAGTATGTTAAATACTGAATCTTGTATATATTTCCAGCACGATGTGGAAATGCTGTTTCAGTCTCCGGTATTTCGCTCATCCTCCCTCCGTACGGATTCCACATCATCCACACAATCTTGGATTCTATCATTTTATCGAATATTGTTCCCAAATTACCCTTCGAAATCGGGGTTTTCACGTAATCCGATTTCATCTTAAAAGCCAAGGAAGACCGTGATTTCCTGTTCAACATAGCTTCCTCAGGGGTATTTTCGGGGAAGTCCGCCCAGAATAAGGTCGATTTGATCCAGCTCATCTCATTACAGTCCTCCTTCTTCAACCCTAGTTCCGGAAACTTCTCATCCATTATAGAGACAAGTTTGTCGGAATCACCGAGGTACATTGCAATAAAAGATGCCCGGGCTGTCATTTTACCAGGAGTAGTAGTACTATTAACTGCCTGCAGAAAAACCCTAACAAAGAGCTCCTTTTCGAATTTATCTGCAATGTTTTGCCAACTGTAAACAATATCCGTGGCATTCTGTTCCAAAGTCCTACGAACCTTAAAAACGGTGACATTTTTAGGCACGGGTACGAGGTTTATTTTATAAGAAAGTACAATGCCAAAACTACCCCCACCGCCACCTCTTATAGCCCAGAATAGATCCTCCCCCATACATTCCCTATCCATGATTCTCCCGTTTGCATCCACGATTTTAGCGTCGACAACATTATCGACGGAAGTTCCGTATTTCCTAAGCATTGTGCCGTAACCGCCACCGCTAATGTGGCCGCCGACACCTAGGGTTAGGCAAACTCCGGCGGGGAAAGCGTGTACTTTGCTATTTTCCCATATTTTATGATAGAGCTCGCCCAGTGTGGCCCCCGCCTGGACCCACGCGGTTTCTTCCTTGATGTTGAGGTCGATTGATCGGAGATTGAACATGTCTAGGATTGCGAACGTGGTTTTGCTCGTGTAGGACAGGCCCTCGTAGTCGTGGCCCCCGCTTCGGATCTTGAGGTGTAGGTTCACTTTTTTCGCACAGCTGACTATTTCTTGGACCTCGGATTCTTGAAAAGGGGTGATGATTAGGGCTGGTTTGTGGGTCGTTGAAGTGTTGAAACGGCCGTTACGGATGTAATCATCCAGCACGGTTGTGTAGTTGGTGCTGCATTGTGTGTGGATTATGTTTTTCAATTGGTTTTTCGGGATTTTGGAGTTTGCGAGACAGTCGGAGAACAAGTACGAGGTTGCAGTGTGAAAGGAATTGAAATAGCAAAACGAAAAAAGAAGAAGCTGGAGCATTGAGAATCCTGACAGTAGGGAAGAGATCTTCATTGTATATCTTGTTGAGGGTGATGGTTCTTTTCTTTAGCCACCCTACTTCGCTTTAAATACATTTGAAAAAAGAATGCCTGCATTTATATTATATTCTTTTATTGACAGAATCTTTTATTACACTCTTTTTTGTACGTAATATTTCATTTATAAAATGGGAGTAATTCAAGGTTAAGATCTTCTCTTGATTTTATCACAATACGTTGGGTATCTGTTTGTATTTCAAGGTTCATGATTAGAAGCTTTTC